GCCCATTGGCAGCTCATTCGAATTAATCACGTCAGAGGCGCTACGCTTCAGGAATGTTGTTTTGGACGCATCTACCAGGAGGCCAGTAGTGTCTGATTGTGTAAAGCCCAATGCACTATCTAAACTAGCATCCGAGCTGACTTCCTGCGTCGCGCCAGCCGCAGGATCTTCTAGAAACACTAATGTCTTATCTGTCTCGAGCGGGCTATCACTGCACACTAGTTTGGCACAAATCGCTTTCAGCTCATTTTCGTTCCCCACAAATTTTTGCTCAAACTCCTCTGACAAGCACTCGGCATACAGCGACGCTGAGTCAGCATCAGCGTCCGCATCAACTTGGGCATCGCCAACCTTGCCCTCCTCGTCGCAGCACGACTCAAAGTCCGTGTCGGTGCCGCCGCTGCCGCCGCTGCAGGGTGTCTGCGGCGCGTGTGCGCTATCAGCGCTGCCATCACTCTGCGGACTCAATTTCGGCGGCTGTTCCTGTTTGGCTTGTGGCTCAGATGGCTGATTTGGCGCCACTTTTTCGCTTTCATCCTTTCGCATCATATCGCTGAGCTCTTGATAGTACTCAATACGCTTGCGTAGGTTAATATTCTCACGCAACAGTCGCTGCTCTTCTATCTTCTCGGTTTCGCGCAACAAACGCAACTCCAACTCCACATTGGCACGGCGCTCATCGATTTTGCGCTGCTTTGCATCTTGCAGCTGTGTCGTCAACTCATGGTGGCGCCGCTTCTTCTGCTCGGCAGCCAGCAAGGCGCGGTCATGCTGCTCTAGTGACCATTTTTCGAGATTCTCACGGGTGCGTTGGCAGGCGCGTTGGTAGAATTCGCGCTTCTTGGCGGAACGGGCCTCGAATATTCGGCGAATACTGACTTCTGCTATGCCACAAGCTGCTTGTGCGCGCTCTCTATACTTCACGCATTTTCTTTTTAGACGCTGAATCTCATCGTAGGTGAGGCACACGGAAATAAGTGGGTAGTCAAGCGTGAAAAGTGGGTGCTGGAAAGAGGTTAGAAGAAATTAAACATGACTCTAACTCATCACAACACGTATTATAAGCCTAAAATCCTCAGAAAGCTAATAAGAGCTTTCGGGGGAAGAGAGTGATTTTAATAATACAAGCTTAGACTCATTTCACATTTTCTGTAGGTGACTTCGCAGTCAATGAAATTATACAATGGTGTCTCCTTGGTCGAGTCGCAAAAGCAACAGAGATGACATCTCTTACTGCAGTGTATTGGAAGGACACTTGTTGAGCTTCTAAACTTATTTTTTGAGAAGTTGATTACATGTTGGAATTTCTTCATGTTAACCCTCCCTTTGTCATGGATCTCTCGTTGTACCTAACAAAGAAATTACTTTTCGCAAATTCAACTTCGCACACAGACTTCCCCAGGCATTTTCTTCTGAAGTTCTCGAGATGTCTATACAACAAATTAGGCTACAACCGTGAAAGAGACGTTGTCGCATAAATGTTTTAAACCTCGTTGCAAAAATCATGGCTTTTCCTATATCATATCTTTCCTGAATCGCCTTTCCAAATATATCTCTAGCACAATTTAGTACAGTATAGCCACTGAAGCGCAGACTACCTGCCAACTAGATGCAGCAGTAAACTCTCATAAAAGCAATAAAATAAATAAATAAAAGTAAATAAATAAATAAAAGTAAATAAATAAATAAAAGTAAATAAATAAATAAAAGTAAATAAATAAATAAAAGTAAATCAATAAATAAAAGTAAATAATATATAAATAAAAATAAAAATAAAAATAAAAATAAAAATAAAAATAAAATAACATAAAATCACATAGTCGTACATTCGGTTTGTAGGCTTTCAGCAACATCGTGTACTTTCCACACTGCAAAATATCGTCTTCGTAGCCTTGAAAGAAGCCCGGCACAGACTCCTTGCGCACAAAGTAGGCCTTGTCATAGAAGTACTTAGTATTGGGCCGATAGTGGTCCACGAAGCAGATGAAAAGCTCATTTGAGGGATCGTCCAAAAGCCCATAGTAAATCCATTTCTGCAGATGCCTATGAATAACGTAAATGAAACGCATTCTACAAAAGCATCTTAACCAACTAACTTGAAGTAGACGTGACAGCACGACTTTAATATGTAAACCAACAGCATTATATAGTCCTTCTCGGTGGTGTGTACTATCTCGCGGTACAGGTAGCCCAGAAACTGCGATCCCATAGGCAGAGTAACATGTGAATCAACTAGAATTCAGAAAAAAATATTGCGTTAAAAGATAATTTCACGTTACTAGAGTACGTTTACCATCCGTGTGTATGGCCAGCGTAAATGACAAATTGCTTATTTGCCGCATAATTTTGCGCATGCGTGCATAGTAAGCAATTAAGGTGTCATCATGATGCGCAAACACGTACTGGCGAAAAGTGAGCAGGTACTCATCGATAGCGCTGCAAAGTGCCTGTGCATCAAACAGAAATTAAAAACGATTTCTTGTCTTAAATATGACCAATCACGCCCACCCGAAATATAAATCCCTCAAACATTAACTTATAGTCCTTCTTCTGTATCATCGTATTCAGCCGCTTGTAGCAGGTGCCACAGTCCAAGAAGCTCTCCGCATAGCTTCTAATCGTCTCCGGCAGCAAGCCTTCTACAGTAATATTTGGCCGCATGGTAAACACCATTTGCTCGTCATGCTGAAATGTCTCCGACTGTATTCCAGCAGTTAGTGCCTTAAGATCGTGCATAAAGTCGACGCAGCTCATGAGACTCACTTCGAACTTGCGCCCACGCACTTGCCACAAATGGCACTTGAGGTCGATCATCACTTCCGCTTCACTGGCGAAGGGTCGCTGACGCAGCACACCACGGCAGCCCAAACTTTGCCAATCCCAGGATAAAATACGAGGCTCTTTCTTAATAACTGGCTGTTTTTCAATCACAGGCACAGGTTCACGTGGCAAGGGCATTTTAAACTTAAACTTCAAGACATTTACAAGTTATTTGTAGGGATTTTATTGAATATGGTAATTTATACATACATTCAGTTTCTCCGCAGACTGTGGTTCAAAATCGGTCAACAATCGAAAAGCATTCATATTAACGCGCACCGAAGCTCCTAGCATTCGACGAGTCATGGCCGTAAAAGTGCAATCTTGTGCTGTAGCTGACGGGCGTTCTACCCTAGCACCATACTTCTGCTCGATTTTTGCCAGCAAATTGCATTCTTCGCCCAGCAAGTATTTCGGCATATATGGATTGTTCAAAGCCTTAACGTCTTGCACTCCTTTGAAAAAACGCGGTTGTGGATGCAACCAATCGCATGTTTGTGGCTTCGGGTAGTATCGATTATTCTCATAGCTGGCGAAGAGCGTAAAGGGTCCGGGCACCAGTAACGCGGGCGGACTTGGCACAGGCTAGTAATTGCAGTAGCAATTAATATTAATAACTTCATCTACAATGTATGTACTTACTACTTGCTCCTCTTCTCGCACGTTACCTTGCAGCAAGAGCAACAGCTGCAGCACCCCACAGCCCGGACCGTCAGTAAAAAACGGCACATGACTTATGTCTGCCATCTGCTGTTCGAGAGCCTCATAGCGCGCACAAACCTGTGAATCGGCGCGCGAATGGAGCTTGGCGGCAAAGATGTGCATATCAACAGCGCGTTGTGGATCGAATTCGGACTCATCATCTGCTGGCGGATAGGAATGCGCCTGTGTTGACTTTTTTAGCAGGATTTCAAAGGCAAGTGGCTTCAGTTTTCTGACAGCTGTGCTGCATTCGGGCTCCTCCAATCCATGCTGGCTTGCGAGACTGCGACAAAGCTCTGTTATGAGGTAATTGACACTATCTGCATTTTCCACCAGATCGTTATCGTGCATTGCGTCAAAATAAGTGGCGATTTGTAAGGAAAACGGATGCAAATATAGGAAATCAAAATTTTTTCACAAAACAAATTCTACGCCCATGGTTCGATATTTGCTCGCTCGTTTTGTTTTTTGTAATGCAGTTCGCTATGTTTTCCTGCAGATGACGCTGTAATTTGTTTGTTGACATTTTGTTACAAAAACAATAAGAACAATGACAACAAACTTTATTTTCTTTTAAACGACGAATTTCAATGAGTTTTGACCAATTTTTTGTACTTAAATTATATAGATCGACATAACATTCAGATTTAACTTATGTTTCTTTCACGATTTAACGATAATATATGATTTTTTAACGACCGGCGTTTTGCATTTGTTTGTAAACAAAAAACAGCTGTTCGCGAATGGTGAGATTTGGGTTAAAAAAAATGGGACTTGGAAATGTAAAAGATTCAGTCGGAGGATTCTTGCCATATCGTTCAAGTGCTGCCATCGCGGAACAAAAAGTCAAAATATAAAGGGTTTTTAAAAAGTAATAGATGTTATGCTATAAGCAAGTTTAATACAATAATTACATATATGTATATTCGAATATTTTGTTGTTTGCTGCCATTTTTTAACAAATGTTAGGTTATTTGCTTTCACCGTGTTCTATTTTTGTACACAAATGCAACTCTGCCTATCGCTTGACACTTTTCATGAATTTGCCAGAAGAAAAACTTCGGTCTAAATCTTGAAACTTCATTCTGGGAACAATTGCTCAGTTACTCTCATGAGAGTGTTCCGAGATACAGAATTTTGGCGTACGGGAACGACGGGATCCTGCAAATCGTAGACGTGCTGGAACACACTAACTGCTTTATTTGATTAGTGCAGTCAATCGATCTGTCTATTCGCAGAAACATTTTCTGCTTTGAAGGCGTTTCGCGGGAAAGTTTTCCAGAAATGTCTTTAAAATTTTACCAACACACGCTTATATTATTGAACATTTTTTTGTTTTATCACAACACCGGATTAAAGTATCAGTTCAGTAAAACAAATCTCAAAAACTCGTATTCAATACGCACTTTTCCGAAACTTTTTTACCCAAAAAACTTTACTGCTCTATTTTGGAAATTTTTTGGGTATTCTTTTTAACACTCAACAATTATTGAAAAGACGTCCGGCAGCATGCCAGTCGATCGAAAATTTTCTCGAGATTCTTTATTGAACTGGCTGGAAAAACTGCAGCGCTCTTTTTAATGAGAATTTTACCAAGAAAAAGTTAAAATTCGCTATTCAAAAGACTAAATAGTTGTAGTAGACGAGCAGCACAACAAGTTGGTGTATAGATTTTAATCTAAATTTCGAGTTTGAAGCGAAAAAATTGCAATTGAAAATTCGAAGAAAAATCTTGAGCAGTGAAAATTTTGTGAGTCGTGTGTGTGTACTATAGTTGCGTGCAGATAGTGCGGAAGGGTTGTAAGTAGATCGAATTCGTGTCGTGCGAGGAATGCATACTTCCATAGTTTTACCAATAGTACATAATACCAAAATAAAATTATATTTATTTTTTTTTTAAGGCGGTGGAGGAAGCAGTGTGCCAGTAGTTTCATAGCGAATGTGAATGAAAGCAGCCTGTCAATTGAAGACTCCACTGTGGTCGGCGGAGACCCATTAGTGGCCCGCAGTTATCGCAAAATTGAATTTTCCCAAAGGCCGAACCCAAACACATACAAAAACAACCACAGTCGCACAAGCCATCATCGATTAGTGGTGGAAGTAAATACATATGTACATAGTACCTAGTATCGAGGGGAAGGAAAAAAAAACAACACGAATAGTAGAAGCATCAACACAAATTGTTACACGGTCAAAACAAATCGACAAAAGCGAAAGTGACGACATCAAAGCTAGTGCCGCGACATCGCATAATAACATCCAAGGGAGGAGCTGTAACGAAACAACGGAACAAGAGGTTTTCGTCGTGAGAAGCTTGGTGGGCGGTGGTGCGCCGTGCATTTGTGTAGAAGTAAGCGTAAAATCGTGCAAACATACGGTCACACATACGCTTTGTTTCTACTTTGCACTGTGAGTGGTATCAAAGTCGTTGCGCTTCGTTAGAGACTGCAGGGGCAGGGGAAGTTGTGGAGGTTAATGCGAGGTTCATGCGCACGTTTTTCAATTGAATTAATTTTTTCGAAATTTGCTTGCAATTTAATTTACGTATATTTTAAATGTACAGCGAGTTAGCATAACTGGAACTATATTACCCAGCGAAATAAAACGAATCAGGCCATACATAACAAGCTCTGACATGATAAGCAACCATAAAATGTAAACAAAATTCTGCTGTCTTGACAGCAACGACTAACACTGCGGGTGCTCACTTGTTAAAATATATATATATATATAATTGTATCACGTTGTAAACACTGTAACCACCACCGGATTCGATTTTAAATCAATCACACAGTACTTAATTTTGTAACATTACCAAACGAGCTAAAACCTGCAAAAATATTAATATAGCATAATCACTGTAGCCCAAGAGCAGCAGTGACGTCAATAATGTCCTCGTGTAATGCATCTGCTGATCTTTACCTCCGTCCGCTGCCTTTTCTCGACTCCAAATGGCTACGTGCCGATCTCATTGCCAGCTTGCGAAACGTTGAAGATGCTGCTGTGCTCTGGAATAACCTCATACAAGATTGCGAATTAGTCTCATCCCCAGCAACTCCTGTTCTCAACGCTGCCGGTCACTTATCCTACCTTGGCGACGATGGCAAGCATTATTGTGGCGTACAAAAGCTACAATGCTCGTGCTGTCCTCTGGACTACTGTGGGCCACTGTCAGCATGCAATTGCTCTGCCTGTCGCACGCTGGACTCTGATTCGGCTATCAAAAAAATGACTACGGCGGTCCAAAATGCTGCTGCCAACCGCATTTCATCTGAAGTGATTTTCGAGTCTTGGCTATGGGGCCAGTGTCCCAATACAGCAGTCAAACTCAATTGTCAAAACACGCTTCTAGCTGAACTCCATGATATCTCATTAAAGTCGGCAGGCAATTGTCTCTCAGCAATGCATTTACGTCAACAACTGTTCATTTACGAACGCTACTTTGTCGCGCTTTCACGCTGGAAGCAGCAGCAGGAGCTGCAATGCCACTCCAGTGTTGCTACCACAGCTTCCGAAAAGTGTAAGTTTAATGAGGATCAACGCATTAGTGGTAATAGCGGTATATGTGCGATGCGAGGCAGAGAAATAAATTACCTGACAGCAAATAAATTGCGACATTTTTCAACAGTGGACGTGCCATCGCCAATAAAGGAAAATGAGCGTGCTACATTAGGTTTAGCGCGTGTAGGCACGCGTGCAGCGCTTAATTTTTCCTTTGCATTCTTGCGACGCGCTTGGCGTTCGGGTGAGGACACGGAGATGTGCAGTGAACTGCTTAGTGAAGCCCTGGAATCGTTGCAAGATCTGCCGGAAGCTTCTCTGTTCGATGCCACGCAGGTAAGTACAAAAACATATTTTCTTTGTCCAAAAATATAGACTAAACCTGTTTTCAGGTCTCTACTTTGTGGATCGAAGTGTTGGAGCGTTCTATAAAATTTCTGCGTCAGGTGGCGCTTGGCGACCCTTTGGGTGGCCGGTGTACAGCTCCACGAGAAGATCGCCATACCGCTCTTTGCTTGCTGCTGGAGCTTGGAGCCCAAAAAGGCACGCTCGCTGCCACATTAGAATCTATTGTGTTGCTAATGACGCTATGGGAGAAAGAAAAGGAAACCGATGACAACCGCGATGTGCCCCAGAATACTGGCGCCCCTTTGGTGCCCATTTTACGCCGCTACGAAACCATCGGCAACTATGGATTTAATAACAGCGCGGAGGCAGCTCCAGCCAGCGCCACGGAGTCATTCCTACGTTTTCTCACTTTACCGGAACAGGACACCACCAACGTAGACTTGAAGCAGGCCGCAGTGGTCATTGTTTCTCACCTCGATCGGCTGGCCAAACCGCACTTGCCAACTAGCACCTCAACTGCACCCCTCCCCATTCGTGCAGTGCAGCCAACAAAACCTTTATTGCATGCGCAGGCCTCACAGGAAAGCATGTCGGCTGCTTCAACACCACAGCTGCATGAACAGCGCATATATGCGCTCGGCTGGCTATCGCTGTGCCACGATCAATATGGTTTCACAGCGGAACCAGCAGTGGGTCTATCAACAACCGGGAATGTCATAGCGGGCGGGCACTATCCAGCTCCTGTATTGAATTTCTATTTCCAGGTTAAGCAAGTAGTCTTCTCCGAGGAGTATGTGCTTTTCCTCACGCACGAAGGCAAAATGTACACTTGGCGCATAGCCAAACCCGAGACAGAGCCGATGCTTATCGAGGAAATGACAGATGTGCACGTAACAGCGGTAGCCGCGCATTGTGAAGGACGTCACTTCCTGGCTGTGGACAGCATGGGTAATTATTAAATTCATGATTTTTTTTATCTTCATTTTAATTATACTTTCCCAGACAATGCGTACTCTTGGGGTTGTGGCGAGGGTGGCCGCCTGGGCCATGGTGACTCATTGCTGCGCGAACACCCAACCAAAATCCAATCACTGGAGCATAGCGTTAAAGCGGTTTACTGCGGTTGCACCTACAGCGCGGCCATCACCATGAACGGTAACCTCTATACCTGGGGTCGCGGCACATATGGGCGCCTCGGCCATGGCAACTCGGATGACAAGCTATTACCAACACATGTGCATGCTTTACGCGAGCATAGCATTATTGATGTTGCGCTGGGCAGCGGCGACTCGCATACGCTTTGTTTGACGACCGAGGGTCACGTGTTTGCCTGGGGCGATGGTGATTATGGCAAGTTGGGCAACGGTTCCTGCAATGGATCGCAAGTGCCACTGCTAATCGAAGCTCTGCCCCCTATAAAGAGAGTATTTGCCGGCTCGCAATTCTCGATGGTGCTCAGCTGCGATGGAAAACTCTACTCGTGGGGCAAGGCCTACGACGGGCGACTGGGACATGGACTACTAGACAAAAATGTGCAATGTCTCAATACGCCAAAGCAGATATGCGCTTTGCAGGTGCGTTGAACATTTTTTCAATTTCTAAAATGTATAAAACATATATTTTTTTCCGCACAGTCAAAGGTAATAGTGGACGTATCGGTCGGCGTGTGGCATTGTCTGGCTATGAGCAGTAAAGGCGAGGTCTTTGGCTGGGGTCGCAATGACTTTCAACAGGTTTGTCCGGCCGCCATATCGAAAGAGCCTATACTTCGCGATCCAATACTAGCCACCCACCCTTCAGTACAGGCGTTTGGCATAGCTTGCGGCGCAGCACAGAGCATAATATGGAGTCAGACTTCGGTACAGGGTGTGCCATTGAAGATACAGTTTGTTATTGATCTCAGCGAACACACTTTCCGACTACTCGATCAATTGATCGGCATCGTGTGCGGCCAGGACAGCAACAACCGGCAAACGCCTAATCAAGAATCGGAGTGCATTGCAGTGGCGTGCTTGAATCTGCTGCGTTTACAGCTACATGCGCTGATCGTAAATGCTGTGCCGCCCAAGTCTGTTGGCTTGTCGGAAGGCTCGCGCCTGTTGGTCAGCTTAAAAACGCGTATACTGAGCTTAGCGGGCGGATCAAATGTGCTTAAAACCATGCAAGAGGCTGCGCAATGGACTCTACAGGTGCGTTGAAAATTTAAAGTATATTTTTTTGGTAGATAATTATTTTAAATTTCTATTCAAGGTCGGCTGGAGTGTATTGTTACCCACAGCTTCTGAGCGCGCACAAACGCTGACTTCATTGTTGCCCTCTGAGTCGGGAGTTTCCTCTTCAGGTCATCGTTTTATGACCGATTTGCTTGTTGGCTCCCTAATGGCCGAGGGTGGCCTGGAGACTGCACTGAAGCAAGCTATACGCCTCGAGGCCAACGACTGCGCCGACAGCGGCCACAATCTGCCGCTACTGCATCTTATCAGGCAGCTGCTGCGCAACAACTCTGCGCTAACACAAGCTCGCTTGACACAACTTCTTCTAAATGCGGGTATTACAAAGCCCGAGGAAGAATCGTTCTCTTCTCTACCCGCCGTTCAGTCCACCATGGCTGAGCACACCAGTCCCAGCCTAGACCTCTTGCATCGTTTTCAACGTCTGCTGTTTTCGCACATAAACCAATCGAAAACGGAGGACATAAGCGGTGCTGAGGCACTACTCAGCAAATATGTGCAGAGTGCCGTCTCGCTTTGTGTACTATCGCTACAGAAGGCGCATGAAATTGCGCTACAAGGCAAGGACAGTGTCGCGGATATCATCAAAACTGATATATCAGACACGCTGCTGTACGAGCTGCTCATCGGTCTTATTATTTTAAAGCGCGATCGACCAAGTATTTTCCCGGCTTTCGAGTGGATCACGGTGTTCCAGCCATTGCTACATGCGCTGGATAATTTGAATCGCGTCATTTGCGATAGTGAAATGCAAGATTCGGACGACATGGGCTGGCCAGGGATAATTTGCCGAGGAAATCAGAAGAGTGCTTATGCGCAGCCAGTGGACGATGTGAATTTTATACGCAAAAACGATTTCGAAAATCAAATACTCGACGGCGGGAGGTGGATCATATTGAATGGCTACGTTTGCGATATCGCTGACTATCTGTAAGTGGCGGAGAAAGTAATGTTATTTAATTATCATTTACTTCATATTTTTAGAGGTGACAACGCCGCCATCAATGAGCTGCTATCGGCGAACGTTGGTAAGGACCTGACCGTTGAACTGAATACGCCAATCTATCGAAACTGCTTGGAGCACATTTTAAGCAACTACAAAGTCGGGCGTTATGCAGTCAATGTAACTGAAGAGAAGGTAAGCCCTTCAATGGGGACTGGAGTATTCTGCACTCACTTTCTTGCTTTTTATTTCCAGCCCCTCGTGCAACAGAGTAAAGTGCTCACCCATTTCAACTCGGAGCGTGCGCTTGCTTATCTCCTCGGCCTTGTAGTAAACCTTCTACAGAGCGGTCCTGCCCAGCAGCCTGCTGAGTTGCAGTGCAAGACAATTGTACGCTCCAGCATACTGCGCGGTGGCTTACAGCTACTTCAGCCGAGCAACCCGTTCGACGAAGAGAAGGGAGAGGCGCGTAGCAGCGCAAGCACGGCGGGTAGCACGCCCACCGAACCGCCCGTGCACAGCATGACAGTTTGTGTTGGCGTTGGCGTCGGCACAGCTGGCGGCGGCGGCGGCGGCACGGGCGTAGCAGTGCCACACCCCGTCATTAACAGCGTGCAACAGCGCATTGAATGCTTCATTGCCGGTCTCAGTGAGGCGCGCTTAACCGATCCGCTTGTGGTCACTTGGATGACGCTTTCCGAACGTTACTGCAAAGACAATAATTTAATTTGGCACCAAGAATTCCCACCCGAACATCCAGTACAAGAGCTGGAACGTCTGCTAACTGCAGTGCTTATACGCCATCAGAGCCTCGGTGGTCTAGTGTTGAACGTGTTGGAGCGTGAGTTGAGCGGCGTAGCAGCATCCAAAACTCCAAGGCAAATCGCCGATATGATACGCCTCATTTACCAAACCAAGTGGTCGGTGGTACGCATTCGCCAGCAGTTGAATCGCAGCTATAAGGAGGTGTGCGCGCCCATGCTGGAGCGCTTGCGTTTCCTACTGTATGAAGTACGCCCGGCGGTGAGTTTGGAGCAGGAGGCTTTACGTAAATTGCCCATATTGCATCGTTGGCCGCGCTTCAAACATGTCGTGCGCCGTATAATAGCCGAAATGCGCATGGCTAAGAAGCAATTGGCATGCGCCAAACCCGAGGACATACTCAACGTAACCATTCAAAGTCAGAATGTTGCGCAGAAGCTGAATCATTCGCATGTTAGTTTGATTCGTCTTGAAAACGTGTGCATTTTATACTAATTCTTCTACTTCTTACAGGAATCACTATTACAAGCTGACGGTGCCGCTTCCGATGCCACAGACAAAGACTCTGCTCTCGGTACAAACGATAGTGGCTCTCTGACGAGCGCCACGGTGCTCATTCCACCATTACGTGGTAATGCGTCCAATGAAAATCTGTTAGATGCTGGCGACAACAATGTCATACTCAGCGATCGCAAAGCATCCACCGAAGAAATAAAATTACATGCCAATGAACTCGACTTTGATGAAGACAAGAAACCCGCGGACGATGAACCGCGTCTCAATAATGATCTATTACGCAAGTTACGCGAGAAATGGTATTTCTCCGGTGAATTGAACATGCCCATCATGCACGAGATCGTGGAATTCGTGATGCAAGAGGTGTGCGACGTAGAAACAGTGCGTCGCGCAATGTACTGCCAAGTGCAGCGCTATCAAATACGGCGCCAAGGACTGGAAATGTTGCATGCCATGCTGCAGGTGCATGGGCTGCTCGACGCTGTGCAGTACAATATGCTGAACGGTTACCTGGGTTTGCATTTGAAGAGCGCCAACAGCAAACAAGCAACACTCAACGTATTATATGACCTTAATATGATAACGGCTTTCCAGAAGGCCGATCTTTTGTTAGCACAATCGCGTGTGCTCGAATGGGCTGTGCATGAACTGCAACGGCTTGTCAATCAGGAACTTATACAGCTAAAGGGCAAATACAATGCAGGCAGCGGCAAGGATAGCTCAAATCTGGGTACTTATGTGTTCTTGAAAAAGCTGCCGCGCGCCCGTTTTCTGCTTAGCATTTTTGGCATACTGGCTAAAGATATGAGCGCCAATGAATTGAGTTTAATCGTGAATTCAGGCACGTTGGGCACAGTTCTAGGATTGCTTAGCCAAACCGGTGGCGATATTCCGACGGTGAAGAACACTTACGACCTGTCGGTGGTTTATGAAGACACGATCTTGAAACAGAAGTCTAATAAAGCGAACTTGTCTGGACCGGAGCTGGCAAAACTGATGAAGATTGGCACGCGAATTGTGCGCGGCACGGACTGGAAATGGGGCGACCAAGATGGTAATCCACCGGGGGAAGGACGCATAATTAGTGAAGTTGGAGATGATGGGTAAGTGGAGAATTGCTTTGTTGATTTAATGCTACTTTCAATTGGCTTTAAAAAAAAAATGCATGCGATAATAACTCAGAAGTGGAATGTACTTGCTAAGTGCTGGAATAACGCACAATACTAAATAACTCTAGAGACATATCCTTCTAAATGCCGCATTCCTAAACTTGTTTCCCTGGTCGGAACATACGTTCTAATGCGGCTCCCCTCTTTCTTTCAGTTGGGTCCGCGTTGAGTGGTACACTGGCGCCACCAATTCCTATCGTATGGGTAAAGAAGGTCAATACGACCTACGTTTAGCCGATAGCGCTTTGAATATTATTTCTCCTGACACTGAGACCGAAAAAGATGAACTCTCTTGCGATGCCCAGCTAAACGGTGATTCCCATCCCACTAAACTGTTGCGTTACGCCTGCACAAAGACACTGCAAATCATCTCGGTGGGCATAGGATTGCACAGCGCACAGATGGATAAGAATGCTGTGAGTTGCATCTCCAGCATGTTCCGTTCCATACTCGATCCCAAATCGACGCTAGGCAACATATACGGCTTGGACAATTGGACGACTTTGGGTTTTTTGAAAGCCATAGCTGGTGAGTTTAAACTAGTCTCAATCTTAATGCTCAATTTTCCTATTTGCATATTTCCCCATTTTTAGGCGAATCAAAGTCACTTGCCAAGTACTTGTCCTCACCCACATGGATTGACTTCTACATTAGCCTTCTTGAGCAACCAGTGACGCGCGAACAGGAACTTTTTCGCAACCTACACTGTCTCCGCTTGCTGCAGAGCATACTTATCCATTGGACAGATGATTCTCATATGCAACGTATGGCTACGCTAGTGCGACAATTCTTTTCAACGCTGGGCAAGATAACCCTCTATTGCCCTCATGACATGTCGCTGGCCCAAAACGTTGGCGATTGCAAAACCCGCGTGCTCTTAACAGCCTCGCACTCGAGCACCATTGCGGAAGAGATCATAACTTTGCTGCGCCGCTTGCATACACTACCCTACTGGAATGCGGCGATTAACTCTTTCCTCGCGCAGAAACTGTGCGTGGCGGCAGAGCTGTTTGGCGAAGATGGCTTGGACTTGCAGCACTTAGAAAACGAGTACATTTACGTGATGGGCGTGCTCTGTACCATAGGCGGCTGCGACATACGACCACGCGTTGGCCTACAGGTCTGCTATGAAGGCAATACCGCCACCATTTGCGGCTTTACCAACAAGGGCAAGTGTTTGCTTAGCACCGACTGCCAAGCCTTGAACGGCGAGTTTGGCAAAATTTCGCTAAGCGTGGCTTTGGAGTGCGCGGACTACTCGGTTTTCAGTCTCTCGCGGCTGCCGTTGAATGAAATGCTGCTAAATTCCTGGGCAGTTTTACTCTTCGGTCCAGGCGAGCGCAAGGAATGTGTGCCCAATGGCGTGGACATCAGCTTACTGCGCTCGCAGCAAATACAACTTTCTGTGTTGAATGCGAACTGCGTTCTGTATCGCCATCAAGCCGCATTACGTAAAATACTCAAGCAACGTTCACCAGGCCTATGTGCCTACTCTTCAGAAGAGAGTCTCTCAGAGGAAGCTGCACCTGCTAATGCAAGCAGCGATGGCAAACCAAACGCTGAAGGAGACGCTTGCGCCGATCCTGAGGCAATAAACTCCGCCGTTATCAATGAACTAAGCGCTCCGCCTGCTGTTAGCGACACTGAGCTACTTATACAAAGTATTTTGATACGCGCGACGCAGCCATCGCCTGTTAAGGCTATATATTCTTACACAGATTTGTCAACCGCAGCGCTGAATTGCGCACAAGTTCTTGCCGCCAAAGTGCATAACGAGTTGAATGAGGCTGCTTCGACGAGCACTGGACGGGGCGGCTTTGCCGCACCGACACCGCCAATGCAGCCGACAATGATACACGGCGTGCCAGTGTACAATGTGGGTCTCTTGGACGAAGCGTCGGGTGGCAGTCAACCACAAGCATCAAAGAACAACGTCGATGCTACGCCGCTCATTGCACAGATCATGGAAATGGGTTTCTCTAAGAAGTCAGTTGAATTGGCTGTCAAGCAGTTGTCCATACATCCAGAGGTCATTCCAACGCCCGAACAAATCGTTCAGTGGATTCTCGAGCACCCAGACGTTTGCGCGAACACCATAGATGCCACAGACTATCTAGAGCCGACGCTGGTGAGCGGAAGTGGTACCGCTGGCGGCTCCTCGAGCGACACTTCACTGCAATCAAAGCTGCAGACGCTGCACGATCCGGAAGCCGACTCCGACAACGAGAGTTTGGACAGCAGCTCGGACACCGTCGAGGGCTCCTCCATACATGAACAACTGGTCAAGTTCGAGACGCGCAAAGATTTCCCCTCTGCCGATCAGTATGCTTTGTATGTAAGGGGATTGGTATGTCCTGGTATGCTGGTGCGATGTTGCCGCGACTTTGAGGAGATCAAGAAGGGCGATATTGGCACTGTTCTTAAGGTAGACACCGAAGGTTTACATGATCTGAACGTTCAGGTGGACTGGCAACTGCATGGTAACACCTATTGGGTTTGCTTCGTGCATATTGAGCTACTGGAGATGCCGCGCGAGAAGACGACATGTGAGCGCGCAGCGCAGGTAAGTGTAGGAACGCAGGTGCGTCTGCGCGCCGTGTCGCGCTACAAGTGGGGTTATGTTCTGCGCGGTAGCGTTGGTACGGTGACAGCGGTTCGCGGCAAGGATGTGACCGTCGACTTTCCACAACACCCTGGCTGGAAAGGCACGCTGAACGACATTGAAGTGATGGGTGGAGGGCAAATTACAGGTCCCTCCGGTGGTCTACTTGGACTCCACACCGGTGCAGTGCCCACGCCTAGCGATCTCATTGAAGATTGGTCGCGGTGCTTACGCTCGCTCACGGTGTCTTCCAACGAAGGGACCGCGAAACATCTACTGGATCGCAGTCCCTACTATTGGCAGAGCTCATCAAGCAGCCAAACTAAGCACTGGATTCGTTTGGAGATGCACGAACATGTGCTAGTGCACAGCCTCTCGATCGTCGTCTGTCCGGGCGACCACTCGCATCAGCCGTCCTTAGTGGTGGTACGAGTCGGCGACAGCATTGGCAACCTTAAAGACTATTCTTGGATTTCCATCAAGAACACCGACACGACGGTGACGCTTATGAGCGACGTGCGCCAGTACTACCCCTGGGTGGAAATAGTTATCAAGCAATGTCGCAACAATGGTATCCAGTGCAAGGTGCATGGCCTGAACATCGTTGGACGTCGTAAACAAACCGATCTCGATCTGCTGCTGATGAACGCCTCGTTCTTAGCCTGTGAATACGAGCAAATGAGCGACTCCAACCCATGCTTATCCAGCGGCTACAGCAACGCCGATCCCAAATCATCATCGTCTCTCTGTGAACCGCCCTGCACCGTAATGGTCTGGGGTCTGAATGACAAGGAGCAGCTGGGCGGCCTCAAGGGCTCAAAAGTAAAAGTGCCAACCTTCTCGCAGACAATTAGCCGTCTACGCCCCATACACATCGCGGGCGGCTCAAAATCGCTGTTCATCGTTTCGCAGGACGGCAAGGTGTACGCGTGTGGCGAGGGCACGAACGGTCGTCTCGGCTTGGGCATCAGCGTGAATGTGTCGGTGCCGCGGCAGGTGCCAGTGCTGCACCAGTATGTGGTAAAGAAAGTGGCTGTGCATTCGGGCGGCAAGCATGCAATGGCATTGACACTGGATGGCAAAGTTTTCTCCTGGGGCGAAGGGGAGGATGGCAAACTAGGGCATGGCAACCGCCTCACAATGGACAAGCCAAAACTAATTGAATCGCTGCGTGCGAAGAAAATACGTGATATTGCCTGCGGCTCATCGCACAGCGCGGCCATCACCTCTGCGGGCGAACTCTATACTTGGGGCTTGGGCGAATATGGACGTCTTGGTCATGGCGACAATGTGACACAGCTGAAGCCGAAATTGGTCGCGGCTCTGAGTGGTAAGCGTGTTATACAGGTGGCTTGCGGTAGCCGCGATGCGCAGACACTAGCGCTAACCGAGGATGGTATTGTCTACAGTTGGGGCGATGGCGATTTTGGCAAGTTGGGCCGCGGTGGCTCGGAAGGTTCCTCGATACCACACGAAATCGAACGTTTAACCGGCATCGGTGTCATACAAATTGAATGTGGCGCGCAGTTCAGCCTCGCGCTTACACGTACCGGTGAGGTTTGGACCTGGGGCAAGGGCGACTACTACCGTTTGGGTCACGGCAGCGACCAACACGTGCGAAAGCCGCAGCCGATTCAAGCGCTACGGGGTCGGAAGGTTATACACCTTGCAGTAGGTGCTTTGCATTGCCTGGCCGTCACCGATACCGGACAAGTGTATGCGTGGGGCGACAATGACCACGGTCAGCAGGGCTCTGGCAATACGGTGGTGAACAAGAAACCGGCTCTGGTCATTGGATTGGATTCTGTGTTTGTCAACCGAGTCGCGTGTGGCAGTTCGCACGCTGTCGCTTGGGGGTTGCCGCAATCGCCATCGGATGACGAGAAGAAGGGTCCTGTGCCATTTACGACATCAAAAGATCCGCTGGGCGGCAGCAGCCTCGGCATATATGACACTGATGGCCAACTGAACACACCAACAGCAACAACTACAACAGCTAGTGCGTCGAAACCGACTTCGAAGTCGAGCCTTAGCGAGACGCTGCTCTCACTCGAGACGGACGGCGCACGACAAACTGCGCTTAACTACGTTCTCAACGCTATGAGTATTTTGCAGGCACGTCAGATAATTGTCGCCGCGCTCACTAGTCACAGTAAAGTGAATCTGCACGAGAAGATATCGAACGATTTTGATGTGCCAGAAGGAAACGTTATTTTGGGCAAGGAGGCGACTATCGCTGCTTCAGGCAGTACTCCACACGGCACGCTTGGCGGACATAATAATCACAACAACCACTGCAATAACGAAGTGATTGCCCAGGGTGGTGGAGAAGCGCCAGCCGATGCCACCGATCCGGCCGTACACGAACCCTCGCCAGAAGCGGAAATCGTGCCCGCGCCAGCCGGTCCATTGAGCGCGTTTCAAAGCCTAACCGGATCGCTATCGCTCTCAGCGTCCATATCCAGCAATGCGCCTCATAAACATTCAAAGATGTCGGCCAGTGCCATGTCTGCACTCGCCGCAACAATGACCAACCAGGAGGAGATCATCGAAGAAATTAGTCTTACCGGTTTGGATGACTTCACCTCACTGCTAGGCGAATCAGAGGCGAAAAGCCTAGTGGAGCTATTAAAACTGAGTGTCGCTGGGCGCACAGGCCTGCTCAGCACTTCGCAGACCATTTCTGACACACTCATCGCGCTTGGCTCGAACTCACCCACAATCGGCGCAATGTTACTCGAGACTTGTATCACGGAGCTTGAAGATTTGTGCACATCTCGCTACAGCCTGGGCAAGGTGCCGAAACCGGTTATGCGCGAGAGCAGTCATCCGTATGTGGACAACATGACAATAGTCGGCCAAGTAAAGATACCCGGCGCCGAGTCGCTCCGCATTGAATTCGACAGCCAGTGTTCCACCGAGAAGCGCAACGATCCGCTGGTCATTATGGACGCCTCTGGTCGCGTGGTTGCCGTGCGCTCCGGGCGCGAATACGCCCAGTGGGCGCCTGAAGTGCGCATACTCGGCGATGAAATGCGCTGGAAATTCACCTCGGACAGTTCGGTGAACGGCTGGGGCTGGCGCTTTTGGGTGCACGGTATCATGCCAGCAACCGCCTTGCATGAACGCGGCTCCGATCGTGCGGTGCTCTCGCAGCCATCAATGCCACTTGTGATGGCGCTGCTGAACGAGCGCCTAGGGCCGCACAACACGAGCGTGCTGTTGCGCTTGGCAGCCGCGCTGGCTGCTTGTGCGCAGCTCAACTCGCTCACGACTACGCAGCGCATCTGGTCGCTGAAGCAACTACACACTGTGTTCCTCTCCAAACATGCGCCGAGGCCGTTGGATCCATCGCTGAATAGCATTTTGATGCCACTAATCCCAGAGCTACTGCGGCAATACGAGTACGAGGAGCCACAGGTGCGCGGCGGAATACACCTTATGCACTCAGACTATTTCAAAACGCTGGCAGCTCTTGCTTGCGACATGCAGTTAGATGCCGCGCTACCGCCAGCTGACGTACATAAGTGGGCATGGTTCAAAAGGTATTGCATTGCAGTGCGCGTGGCGCAATCACTGATAAAGCGCACCGAACTGCCACGCCTCTTCTGCATGGAGGTGCGCAAGAAGTTCGCCGAAATGATGCCACCGCCGCAACCAAGTCACTCACCTGTCGGCGGCAGCGGGGGTTCAATGATGAACTCGACTACATCGCTTTCGTCTGCGGGCAGTACGAACAGCAATCCTACACCGCCGCCACCGCTGCCCAGCTCTACGATGGTAAACACACTAACGCCCAGCACCAGCAACCTTATACAATACATTGACTCGATGATGTCACTTTCCCTGCATGAACCGAACAGCGCCAGCGCTGCTGCCTGCACCAGCCTACCACCTTTGGCGCCCTCCGCAGGCAATGATACGCTACAATTTTTGCATGAGGACCACAGCGTTTTCAAGGGCGCGCATGACTGCCAGCTGCTGCAGTGGCTCAATCGTCGCCCAGACGACTGGGCACTATCTTGGGGCGGCGCCAGCACCATCTACGGCTGGGGACATAATCATCGTGGACAATTAGGCGGATTGGAAGGCAGTCGCATCAAGACACCAACACCGTGTGAGGCGCTCAGCTTGCTGCGTCCTGTTCAACTAGCGGGCGGCGAGCAGACACTCTTCGCTGTCACACCCGATGGTAAGTGCTTCGCTACCGGCTACGGCTCTGGCGGACGACTCGGCGTGGGTGGCACAGACTCCTGGGCTATACCAACTTTAATCGGCTCACTGCAGCATGTTTTTGTCAAGAAAGTGGCCGTGAACTCGGGCGGCAAGCATTGTCTTGCACTCACCACTGAAGGCGAGGTGTACTCCTGGGGCGAAGGTGAGGACGGAAAACTGGGCCATGGCAATCGCATGAGCTACGATCGTCCGAAACTGATCGAGGATCTCACTAGTATTGGCATTGTAGACATTGCTTGCGGTAGCGCACACTCAGCGGCCATCACATCTTCGGGCCATGTGCTTACCTGGGGCAAAGGGCGCTACGGACGCCTTGGACATGGCGACTCTGAAGATCAGCTGCGTCCTAAATTAGTCGAGGCACTGCTTGGCTATCGTGCTATTGACGTCGCTTGCGGCTCAGGTGATGCGCAAACGCTCTGTATCACCGACGACGACAACGTGTGGAGCTGGGGTGATGGGGACTATGGCAAATTGGGACGCGGCGGATCGGATGGATGCAAGCTGCCATACAAAATCGAAAGTCTCGCTGGTCTGGGAGTTATAAAAGTGGAATGTGGTTCTCAATTTTCCGTGGCGCTTACCAAATCCGGTGCTGTCTACACCTGGGGCAAGGGAGATTTCCATCGGCTCGGTCACGGCACTGTGGACCATGTCCGAAGGCCAAAGAAGGTGGCCGCGCTGCAGGGCAAAAAGATCGTCTCTATCGCGACTGGGTCGCTGCATTGCGTAGCCTGCACAGACGCGGGCGAGGTTTACACGTGGGGCGACAACGACGAAGGCCAGCTGGGCGATGGCACTGTGAGCGCTATACAACGTCCGCGACTCGTGGCGGCGTTGCAGAACAAACACATCGTGAAAGTCACCTGTGGTTCGGCGCACACGATTGCCATGTCTACATCGCAGCTGACAGATCGCATGCGACCACCACCCAATCCGCCGCTGGAGTATGATTTAGTGCGCGAAATGCCGCCGGAGGCGTTGCATGCGCGTCTAGTGCTGCTGCATCACTTCTCCGAGTTGCTTTGTCCCTGCCTGGCCATGCTGCCGATCACAGGTAAGCACGACGCTCAGCTGAGTCCAAGGCAAGGCACTAATATTTTCCATTATACTCTCCCACAGGTGAACTCAGCTTGGGCGCGCTGAAAGATGTGCTCGTGTATACCATCAAAGAGGCCGCTTTCCGCAAGGTCATACAAACAACCATGGTGCGCGACAAGCAACACGGACCGGTCATTGAGCTAAATCGCATACAGGTAAAGCGTTCGCGCAACAAGTCGGGCAATGGGCTAGCCGGCATCGACGGCATGAAGAGCGTTTTCGGTCAGATGGTGCAGAAGCTGCCGCTGCTGACACAAGAGGCGCTTTCGCTGCCGCATCGCGTTTGGAAGGTGAAGTTTGTGGGCGAAAGCGTAGACGATTGCGGCGGAGGCTATAGCGAATCAATTGCGGAGATGTGTGATGAATTGCAGAATGGCAGCGTGCCACTGCTGATCACAACACCCAACGGACGTGGTGAAGCGGGCGCAAATCGAGATTGCTTCTTGCTCGACCCAACGCTCGGCTCTGTACTGCAGATGAACATGTTCCGCTTTCTGGGCGTGCTGATGGGAATAGCGGTGCGCACTGGCTCGCCGCTGAGTCTGAAGTGAGTGGAGCAAACGCGCGAGATTGAAAGGTTAGGAGTTTCGACAAAAATGATTAACGTTGAATTTACTTTCAGCTTGGCTGAGGCCGTCTGGCGCCAATTGGCCGGCGAGCAACTACGCCCCTCCGATCTCACCGAAGTCGATCGTGATTATGTCGCTGGCTTGCTATGCATACGCAACATGGACGACGATCCGAAGGTTTTCAGCACGCTCGAGCTGCCTTTCTCAACTTCCTCCGCCAAAGGTCATGAGGTGCCACTGTCGACCCGCTACACGCGCATCTCCCCACAGAACCGCCAAGAATATGTGCGCTTGGCTTTGAATTTTCGTCTGCATGAGTTTGACGAACAGGTTAAGGCTGTGCGTGATGGCATGTCGAAGGTGATACCAGTGCCGCTGCTGTCACTTTTCTCAGCGCCCGAACTGCAAGCGATGGTTTGCGGTTCGCCTGACATACCGCTGGGACTGCTCAAGTCGGTGGCCACCTACAAGGGTTTCGATCCGAATTCGGCGTTAGTGACGTGGTTCTGGGAAGTAATGGAAGAGTTCTCCAATCAGGTGAGTTGAAGTGAAGTTCGTAGGCTTGCTTATAGAGACCAAGCTGTAGCGATTTTCAACTCCTACTTATTTAAAGAAATCAGTGACTTATCTAAACCCCACTTGCTTTTCAGGAACGTTCGCTGTTTTTGCGCTTTGTCTGGGGTCGTACTCGTCTACCACGTACAATTGCCGATTTTCGAGGACGCGACTTCGTTTTGCAGGTTTTGGAAAAGAGTCCACCGGATAATTTTCTACCAGAGAGTTACACGTGCTTCTTTTTGCTGAAAATGCCACGCTATTCCTGCAAGGTTAGAAACCAAATTTAAAAAAAAAACTTAAAACCAAACGCTCGACACTTAACGCGGCTCGCGATAACTCTCTTTTTTTTAGCAGCAAAACTGGCCGTTTTGGAGATATTGTTTTTTTCTGGTGGTAGACCAATTTTTATTCTAAGTTTATTTTAGCATTTATTGGTTTGAACGATATCCGCGTGAAATTTTGCCAGATGACATTTTTAGTGGAAAGGTCAGTCATAACTTTCAGAATTTTTGAATATTTTCATAAAAATCAAAGATAATGCAAAGCTTAAAAAATGAAAGTGCTCTTTCTTAAAACTTCTGACCTTTAACTTCAATTTATTCAACAAACCAAGTAAAAGGTCTGAAATTTTAAGAAAACCCAATTGCTTAGTCCTTATTCATACGGCCTAATAAGAAAATTTTTAAAACCTGGTCTCAACCATCTATTGGTTCCTTGCATGATTAATTTCAAAGATATCAGCCTGAAATTTTGCCAAGTGACTTCAGATAAATCAACTTCGAAATTTCGAAAATTCGAAGATAAGTATTCGAAGTTTGCAAATGGCTTATCTTGAAAAAATCGTCAAAAATTCTGCGCTATACCCCTATTCATTTTTTCGTCGCAAATTAATTTTCCTCTCAATTTTATGAATATATTAGTGAAAGATTCGGTCAAAATAGTTTATAGCTATAATAACTTATTTTACGATCGTCCTCTTACGAAAATTCGAGAAAAATGTTAGAATAACAAATTTTTTAAAGTTACGCCTAATCCCCTATTTTGGTCATAGTAAAAGATTGAAAAATTTAATTAACAAATAAATTGAATTCGAAAATTCGAATATGAAAATATAAACCTCACAAACCGCCCTTCCATTTCATGGCTCATTATTATACAATACAACCTAATACATATTTTACCCTCATCAAACAATTTAGTACATCGTCTTTAACCTCACTCTTTCACATGTTTCGAACTCGTTCTCTATTCCCTCAGGCTGTGCTGCTAGAGAAGCTAAAGTATGCTATACATTTTTGCAAGAGTATCGATACGGATGAGTATGCGCGCGTTGCCATGGGTGATCCCACCGAAGCGACGGGCAGTGAGGACGACAGCGATCTGGAATCGGCTGCGAGTAATGAGGCCTAAATCAAAATTAACTATTAGTGGAACGTGAACGTGATTTTCACAGTAAAACAAAAATATTTAAATATACATATATATTGGATAAATATTCATGCATACATATATAAATTTTGTGAATGGAATTGTAGTTTGTAGTAGCAGCGAACGTAGTTTGGTAAGTAATAAGTTTAGTTAATTCAATTCGAAATGAAATTGTTTCAAGAAATATTAATTAAAAAAAAAAAAAATCCAAAATAAACTTTTCTTTTGCTTTCCAGCACCATACAAAATCACTCAACCCCACAGAAGCAAAGCAAAAAACAGATGACCCCCCAAGCGAAATATAAAGGCCTCAAAGGCGTCTAAAAACGAGAGAAATTTCAATTGAATTATAAACAAAAACTTTCGCTCATTATTTAACAACTGTTGTTGTTGCGTGGCGAGCAAATTCATTTGAGAAGTTCAAAATTCTAAAAAAAAACAGACAAAATAGTATTACAAATTTTAATTGTGATGAGAAAGGAAATGGCGTAAAATCATTTGGTCAGTGCTGCCCGCAAGCAGTAGCGACGTCATGCAGCAATAACAACAAAGATCAGCGTCATAATTATAGCTTAAAAATTATTAAATACGCATTAACACACATACATACACGATTTTGCCACATTCATACATTTATTTACCGTTTAATGAGATTCCATAAAATTTTTTGCACTTTCAATGAATTTATTATTATGTATTATTTTTCGTGAACTTTCATAACAACAAAAAAAAAATAATAATAATAACCAGTTTAACATTAACTTATATATAAGCTGGTGACACTTCATTCTAATCTTTGCAATTGAATTTTTAACCAAGAAATAGAATAAAATAATTTTATAAATTTATATTTACTTAAAAATGTATGTGTTAATTTTAATTGAAAACGAAGAAAAAGAATGTAACAAAAATTTACTAATGCTAGTTTTCGCTTTATGAGCGCAAAACATGCTTATTTTGTAAATTTTACCGTTTTAGTTTTAGCTTAATTAGCTCCTAGTTTAATGAAAATATTTTCTTTCAAGTACACAAAAAATGTTGAAGTATATTTTATGGAAGAGTACTAAAACAAAAAACGACAGGGGTATTCGCAGCTCAGTAGCACGTTTCTGTAACTCTTCTCTACCGATTATTTCTCTACTGGTAGAGAATATACGTCCGTCATTAGCAGTAGAGAACAAGGCGGCGAATTTACATATGAATTCGCCTTGGTAGAGCTACACAAACGAGCTACATATAAAATAACGATCAGGAAATGGAAAAGAAATTTTTTGCTTACTATGCAGCTCTCAAGTATAAAGTACTTTCTCAAGCAACAGAAATAATGAAAGTATTTCTTCTGTTTTTTCCTTGAGAACCGCAGACGGCCCTTTAGGATGGAAAAATCTTCGAAAACTTTGAAACTTTCGAAACTTTGATTAGGTTGTAAAAATTTCTATGAGAAATGCTTTTAGGTTTTCCAGTTTTCCGAACTGAAGACAATTTCTTGAGATAAATTTCATTTTCAAAATATTTGAAATATCAAAAGTTTTCGTAAGATTAATTTTCTAGTTATTTTTCATGTTTAACCATTTTCTTTTAGTAAATTTTTTTCTCTTATTTTAGCTCATTTTTAATTCAATTATTTTTCAAACTTTTTTGTTCTTAAATAACTTAAACTATTTTAAAATTTTAATTGGAATTATTTTTNATTTAAAAAAAAAACTTAAAACCAAACGCTCGACACTTAACGCGGCTCGCGATAACTCTCTTTTTTTTAGCAGCAAAACTGGCCGTTTTGGAGATATTGTTTTTTTCTGGTGGTAGACCAATTTTTATTCTAAGTTTATTTTAGCATTTATTGGTTTGAACGATATCCGCGTGAAATTTTGCCAGATGACATTTTTAGTGGAAAGGTCAGTCATAACTTTCAGAATTTTTGAATATTTTCATAAAAATCAAAGATAATGCAAAGCTTAAAAAATGAAAGTGCTCTTTCTTAAAACTTCTGACCTTTAACTTCAATTTATTCAACAAACCAAGTAAAAGGTCTGAAATTTTAAGAAAACCCAATTGCTTAGTCCTTATTCATACGGCCTAATAAGAAAATTTTTAAAACCTGGTCTCAACCATCTATTGGTTCCTTGCATGATTAATTTCAAAGATATCAGCCTGAAATTTTGCCAAGTGACTTCAGATAAATCAACTTCGAAATTTCGAAAATTCGAAGATAAGTATTCGAAGTTTGCAAATGGCTTATCTTGAAAAAATCGTCAAAAATTCTGCGCTATACCCCTATTCATTTTTTCGTCGCAAATTAATTTTCCTCTCAATTTTATGAATATATTAGTGAAAGATTCGGTCAAAATAGTTTATAGCTATAATAACTTATTTTACGATCGTCCTCTTACGAAAATTCGAGAAAAATGTTAGAATAACAAATTTTTTAAAGTTACGCCTAATCCCCTATTTTGGTCATAGTAAAAGATTGAAAAATTTAATTAACAAATAAATTGAATTCGAAAATTCGAATATGAAAATATAAACCTCACAAACCGCCCTTCCATTTCATGGCTCATTATTATACAATACAACCTAATACATATTTTACCCTCATCAAACAATTTAGTACATCGTCTTTAACCTCACTCTTTCACATGTTTCGAACTCGTTCTCTATTCCCTCAGGCTGTGCTGCTAGAGAAGCTAAAGTATGCTATACATTTTTGCAAGAGTATCGATACGGATGAGTATGCGCGCGTTGCCATGGGTGATCCCACCGAAGCGACGGGCAGTGAGGACGACAGCGATCTGGAATCGGCTGCGAGTAATGAGGCCTAAATCAAAATTAACTATTAGTGGAACGTGAACGTGATTTTCACAGTAAAACAAAAATATTTAAATATACATATATATTGGATAAATATTCATGCATACATATATAAATTTTGTGAATGGAATTGTAGTTTGTAGTAGCAGCGAACGTAGTTTGGTAAGTAATAAGTTTAGTTAATTCNTTTTTTTTTTTATATTTTTAATGCAATTTTGTAGAAACAACCACATTTTTACAAGAATTACAATGTAAAATTTGAAATCGCCTTGGAAAAAATATTTATTATAACCAGAAGCAATTAGCGCCTATTATACATAATTATTAAAATTAATTGTAATCGAAGTAAAAATAAGTATGCTTCATTGTGTTTGAAATTGCCATTAAAAAGGAATATTTTCATTGGAGGAAAGATTCGGTAGCATTTAGTTTTGCTTAAAATATTTTGAATGGCAGTTCACCTAGTAGAGAGCACAAAAACAACACATGTTTATACGCGTGTGCGCGTGTGTCGTTTGTTCTTTTGCTAAGCCGCTGAATTTCGATTTTGGCAATTTTTTTTCAAAGATGGATTCAAACCTAAAATCTTTAGTAAACTTAGTAGTAGAAATAATCTAGTTTATAAAATTAGTTTTAGTTTTTCGTGGCAAATTGCAGTCTAACTAGATGCGCACACATTAACACACACCCACACACACATACACAACCTAAAATATTTATGTACATTTTACAGCTAAAAATACCCTTTTTCACATTCTACACGCAAAATTAGCAAACAATTTATTTCTAACGTATTTTAGCTTACAATGTACATATGTAGCTGTGCATTGGCAAGAAAATCTTAACTTATTTGCCAAAAATTAAGAATTTATGTAGCGACTGCAAAGTAGAGATTAAAAGAATTGTAAGAGAACTATAAATCTGAAATGTATTTGAATTTGGCAGTTGTTGTGTAGCGATTCGATGGAAATTTTATGAAATATTAAGCTGGAAATGAATAATAAAAAACAATTCAAATTAAAACATTTGTTAATATTTTATTCGTAGTTTGATACTAATTTAGAAAACACTTTTTGTAGTCCAGAAAAATAATTTCAATATTTTTATTTTATTTAATATGTAATAACAGGTTAATGTTTTTTAAAGTAGTCCGATATTGATGCATTTCGTACATTGAAGAATTTTTCATAATTTTGTACAAACTTGGAACTGTTTTTTTGGTCATGTCTTAGTACAAAAATTTTATTTTTTTATTGTAGAAGTTGAACTTGTCCCGGTTTGTTGAGTCATCTGTTACATTTTTAATCCCAGTTAAAAAAAAAAAATGTCTTATCTAGATCTAGGGCATTTGAACGGGAGTCGGGTAAAATACCATGAGCTGGAACCAATGCACCATCCGAACCCGAAATAAGAGCCTAAAGATTTTTCTAGAATAGCATTATGCATAAAAACTTGCCTTTTACGTATTTATATATCGTCATGTGAAAAATAATTGGACACGACATTTTAACAAATGTTGGCTAATTTTGTATTGTTTGTATGTTTTTTTTTTTTTGTAAAAATGCAGTACATTACCTAACAAGAACCTTATAAGTCCCAATTTCAAACTTTGTAGATTAATTTAGAACAACAACAATCAGTTTACTAAGAATTTTGAGAGAAAACCTGAGTATGCAGTTTTACAGCCCATTAAATTCTAGTTTATTCGCGTCATTTTCAATAATTTTTTTTTTTTGTGAGGGTTTACGCATTTTCTTCTACAGTATCGGTCACATCTATAGCACGCCATTTCAAAGTGATATTGTGTGCCACTTATGTTTATTTATTTATTTTTAAGAATTTTCAATTAAAATACAGTTCATTCTCAGACAAACCCCATATAAACCCAAGTGTAACAATTTGTAGAAAACTAGAAAAAAGTGCAACAAATTTCCACCTAAATTTCAAACTTTTTTCTCGGAAGTGTAAGAATTTTTTTGAGTACACAGTTTTTTAGCCCCTTCAATTTTAGTCTGATAATGTGCAAGTTTCAAGTGGCTAAAAGTTACCGTTGATTTTTTTTAATTTTTTTCGCCAAAGGTGTTGCGGATTTCTTCCATATACAAATAAATTGAGTTTATTCATTATATGGAAGCCAATGCGACAAAATAAATTCTAAAAAATAAACGGTAATTCGTAGCCACTTCAAATTTGCACATTATCAGACTAAAATTGAATGGGCTAAAAAACTGTGTACTCAAAAAAATTCTAACACTTCCGAGAAAAAAGTTTGAAATTTATGTGAAAATTTGTTGTACTTTTTTGTAGCTTTCAACAAATAATTAAGCTTGGGTTTGTATCGGGTTTGTCTGAGAATGAACTATATTTTAATTGAAAATTCTTAAAAATTTATAAATAAACATAAGTGGCACACTATATTACTTTGAAATGGCGTGCTATAGATATGACCGATACTGTATATAAAGCGTGTTCGGTATGGATGAAAATAATAACACCATCCGCAAAAAAAATATCAAAAATCAACGCGAATTCTTAGCCACTTGAAACTTGCACTTTCAAAAGCTAAAATTTAATTGGCTCTAAACTGCATACATACATTTTCTAAAAGTTCCTAATAAAAAGTTTGTTGTTGAAAAATTATTTATTTATTCATTCATTTACGCTAATCGGCTGTACACTACATCGTTATTAACTAGTATAATTACCTACGTATACATAAGTGAAAGGTAAACATTTAATTAAAATGCCTTAGATTTGAACAAAGGACTAAAATAACTGATTGATTTTTGTTGATTTTTTTTTAATTTTTCTACAAAGTTTGAAATTTGCACTTACATATGCATATGGTTTTTGTTAGGTAATGAGTGGTATTTTTATTAAAAATAATAAATAATAAACATTAAACCAAACGTAAGAAAAGTAGCAAAAACTGCCCAAAATATCGCGTCCCTATTATCTTTCACAAGACATATCGTATCTTCTTTGCAAGAAGCATGAATGTGCAAATTTATCAGCCTCGAGTTATTGGGTTAACTTGATTAACCTTTAGATGTTCTATGTTATACCAAAACCCAGAGTACCATGCGTCCACGGAAACCACGTTTTTTTACAATTTCAATTATGTACATAAATGTAGAGTTAAGTGTGGTCAAAAAACTTTCAAACTTGATTTCCCAAAATTTTCATTTTTACACATTCATGCTGCTATCATAAGGGCGACGATATGTACGCATGTTGTCCACAAGAGAACTGACAGAGGCTAAAAAACTAATATTTCCTTTGAAACTAAATTTATTTTAACTATGTGTATACTGCATATCAAAAATCAGGCAGATTCTGTAATTCACTTCCGATTGAATTTCAACTCCATTTAGTTTAGTCGAAATTCACTCGGAAGTGAATTGCGGAACCTGCCTGAATAGAATAATATGCCTTGCTTCCAATAAATAATTGTAAGGCGAATTCATATGCATATGAAAATATATGCATACATATCGCACGTTTAATAATACACAATATTATTTCAAAATTTCAATTTTGTGGGAAAACGTTATCAAAGTTTGAACAATTCATACATTCGGTATACCAAAAGACAGATAGAAAGGCACACATCTTCGCCATTTTTGGGAACTTTAGTCATCTGTTTTGCTGAACATATTCTATATAATATCTATATATGTATATATATTAATTGTGTATATAATTGTATGATGAAATCTCAAAATACGTAAATTTTGAATTATATACCTATATTATTAAACGTGCGATATAAGTACAACTTATACATATGTACGAATTCTCCTTGAATTGTGCATTCAAAATTTCTAAAAATATATTTAACCAACGGAGCCTTTAGATGTCGCAACCCCAGACTGCATTCACCACGGGGGGTTCGTGCTCACGTGAATTCACTTTGACATTTTGATTGTGCGTGCCATCTGCTCTTCCTTCAACACCCTCTCCACCGCCAATTCCATCACTTCTAGTTGCCGATACTTACAGCGCTTATAGCGCTTTCATTTGTATCGCCATCATCTCCAGGTGGCGCCGGAGATTTCTCGCTGCCAAGTTCGCCCTTCCAAATTTCTGGATCAGATTTACCTTCAGTCACACTCTTGCCTGCTGCTGCTGCTTGTGTATCGCTATGGCTTGCTTTTGAGCGTTTTCGTAAGCGATGCATTATGTAGAGCACTGCGAATGAGGCGTATGTGGCTTTGGCAACCTGCCAATACGTTTAGTTAGTGTTAGGCTCGAGTGACACGTTTTTCTTATTACTCACGTTGGCTCGTCCAGTGATAGTTTCACTATTGAACAATTTATGGAAATTGGACATCCTGAATGCAGTTGTGTTTGGGATTAAGAAAATGGCACTATTTCCTTTTAAATGTGTTTATTTTACAAATGAATTAAAAGGAAAATTACAAATTCTTATAACAATTGTAATATTTAATTGATTTTTCATTAACCCAGCAGTCTATAAAATATTCAAGTATTTTATAAACGATGTAAAAATATCGCATAAAGGAAATTAGTACATATTTTTGACCATGGGAAAATGCAGTTTTATCAATTCATATTGTTGGTATAAAAAACAGATAAGACACATATATTTGCCATTTTTGGGGCGTATAGTTAAGTAAATATTTCCCCCGAGTGGATTGGCAGAAAAAATCCCGGCCAGGATATATTTAATTAAATGTTCAAAAATTATTATTTTTTTTAAATTTTGCACTCATTTGTTTACTGAAAAATTATATATGTATATAACAATCGAAAATATTAAGCCAAGGGAATGTGAAAACGTTTTGTAGTCTATTTTTTCCTGGCCTACATATTGGGTTGGCCGTTAGGTAATAATAGCAATTTCAGTAAGTTAGGTAATAATAAAATATCACAATATATAGGCTTTATGATTTCAATTAGCGTATACATATGTAATCAGTGCAAAATTAAAAATAAATTTAATTTTAGAATATTTAAATAAAATTATATTGGCCAGGATTTTGCCAGCCATCCCACTCGCGAATTATTTCGAAACACGTTAATTTTCATAGAAAATAGATTTCTTCTCTCCTTTATATTTTTTTAATAAAATCCAGAATGAAAACCAACGAAAAAACTAATACAATTTAATTGTAACACTTTCAAAAGCTGAAAGCTACTTTATTTTTACAAGGAAGTGTTCATGTTCCTAAAAGATTAGCTTATGTTATACTTATAAAACGTAATTAGTGCAATGCCATATGTCCCTCAATCGCACGGCAACAACTCAGAACGTGAATTACCACAAGTGCTTTCATTTAAACGAATTTTTCGATATGGTGTGGACGAAAAAGCCTCTACTGTGCAATTCCAATCAATGTCGATCAATGTTTTACTATTTTGCAGACCATCACCGGTTAACGATATGTCCAAAACAAATTTTGCATATAATTCTATAAATGTCATGATGATTGGATTTAAAATCATATTGTTAAATTGACGCCATGGTAAAATTGCGCCCAATAGTTCAACTAGTCGCTGGGCATGACGGAGGTATTTCATGCGCACCATCAGGCGGTGGCTAAACGACAATGACCAAATATTCCGACGTGCTAGGCAGCAAAGAAAATAAAAATATTACAATTTAATCTTCGAAAAAGTTTAATTATGTAAATTCCCTTTCACATGATTAATATGCATTTATTACCTTCTCGCACAAAGCGCGCATAAGTTTCGATGATAGGCTGTAATACCACATCGCTGAACTCCTGCTCCGTCAGCATTGTGCCCAACATCTCGATGAACACCTGCGCCTGCCATGAATTGTAAGCCAAGAGGCCTTGTGTGGGCCTTTGATTTAACAAAGGACCAAAGCTGCGAAGCTTTGCCGAAGAGCGATTTTTACCTGTGCAAAGGGAAAAAGGTCAACATACGTGGGGCTTTTCCGAGCGGCACAAAAACTACCGCGCTAGTGCTTGACGGAGCGGAACTTACCATTTCTCCTTGCAGCCATTTTTTTGTTTATTGTACAGATTTTAACTTAATTTGTCAAGGATTAATTTATTTCTGCAACCGAAGCGCTTTGAGCAATGTAACGGTTTACATTCAAACGTCGCTTGGAATTAGGAATGTCGGAAACACATCGATGCATCGTAAATTTTACACTCGGTGTATAAATAGTCGATGTATCGATTATCGATGTTTTTTTGAAAACTGAAATTTCTAGCCCATTGAGCCGTCATTACCGCAGAACTCCACAGGCAAACACCGATGGCCTACCAACTGTTATTTTGACGGGCAATATGATTGCAAGTATTTGTGTGTGGGCACCTTGATGTCTTGAAATAAGCATTTGCCGCATGACGCCACCAGACAACATTCTCTCGGTGTTTAAAAACGTTTAAATCTTTAAAAAACTTTCTGAATAATTTCCTCAAACGTAATCATAAATAATCCAATAGAGAACAGATTTTTATTTTGATTTACAGGCCAATTCTGCGCTGGTAACATAAATTTTGTAACCGGTAATTATAGTGTCTGTCAATTTTTAAACCTTTTTTGCGTTCTGCGCGCTTTTGTAACCGGTAAATTTGGATACCATCTCATAACCTGGTAACAAAATATTGCCCCGTGAAATATGCAGTACAAGAATTTCCACAAATCTTCATAGCTGAATTGCTAGATATTTCCACTGCATTACCAACGTACCTAGAATCGCGGTGGCAAGTGGCAACATTTTTTGGTAATACAATTTTCCGGTCACAAAATCTTCGGTAACGTGCCTAGACCTATTTAATAATTTATAGACCACTTTAATCCTATTTTTAGCTAATTTAAAAAAGTTAAATTAAATCAGGTTAGGGAACTTCCTATTCTTCTTAAATGGTATCGCTATATCTACAAATTATTTTATACTTTTTAGTTCTTGTAGTAAAAGCGTGTTTTTAGTTTTTTAACTATAATTTTATTTACCTTGAGGAAGGCGCAGATGCCGAAAATGAGACAAAAAATATAAAGTTGTTGTGTTCAATTCAAATGCTGTTGAACTCAGGCATATAAATAATCTTATCAGTTTAAAAAATCGCCTTTTTTGTTAAATCGGCCTTGAAGAAAAACGCGAGCAAACAAACGCTTCTAGAACGAAATTTCTATTGTTCTACAGCTTATCATTGCGGTTATTGCCTATTTAATTTCTTATATGTATGTACATTTATGTATACAAGTATCGCTCGGTTGTCGAAACTCGACATCTTTTTTCACACACTTTAGAATTTTGCTTGTCACCAATATTGACTCTTTTATGCGAATTACGATTTTGAAGTCCACCACCAAAATTTATGGCGAATTTACAGGAAACCTAAAACTAAATTTCTTCAAGTAGCTTTCGAAATCATAAAGAAAAAAATAAACCTTAATTTTCTTTTATAACAAATACACATATATATGTACTTGTATGTACAGATGAGATGCCTATCGGTTCCTCACTGTCTATATGTTAAACAAATACCAATTCAGACTGTAAATGCGTTATTCGATTATCTTGGTCCGCGATCCCCTTGGAAGGTTAAAAACTACACTTCCATCACATTTTCATCAGAATCGGTAGAGGTTAAAAAAAGTACCTCGAAGGTGTGAAACAAAATATAATTAGTGTGTTCCAATAGCAGTCCGGTTTACAGGATTTAGTCAGAACTTACAGGAAGTCGTTCCTATTGACATAAAACCTGTAAGTGGGAACACATTTGAGAGAGTAACTGAGCAACTGTTCCTAGTCAGAAGTTACAGGATTTAGTCCGGAGTTTTTTTCCTGTTAGTCTGTTCCTTTGAACTTCGGACTAAAACCTGTGGAACTGTCAAACTACAATTTTACTCTCTCAAATGAGAGTAAAAGGAGAACAGATGCAGAAGTGCATAGGAACGCAAAAAGCACTATTTCCTGTAAAAACGTCAGTCGGTTTGTTTACATGTCATTTGTATAACACTGATTTAGCTGAAATATCACTAAATAATTATTAAAATCTATACATATTCAAACATTTCGTTGTTTACTTCGATTTTTTTACAAATATAAGGTACTTTGCTTTCGCCGCTGTTAGTTTTTGCTTGCACGTGCAAATCAGCTGATCGTTTGACACTTTTCATGAACTTACAGGAAAAGAAACTCCGGATAAATCCTGTAACTTCTGACTAGGAACAGTTGCTCAGTTACTCTCTCAAATGTGTTCCCACTTACAGGTTTTATGTCAATAGGAACGACTTCCTGTAAGTTCTGACTAAATCCTGTAAACCGGACTGCTATTGGAACAGACTAAGTTCATGAAAAGTGTCAAACGATCAGCTGATTTACATGTGCAAACAAAAACAGAAAGCGGTGAAAGCAAAGAACCTTATATTTGTTAAAAAATGGAAGTAAACAACGAAATATTTGAATATGTATAGATTTTAATAATTATTTAGTGATATTTCAGCCAAATCAGTGTAGTACCAATGATATGTAAACAAACCGTCTGACGTTTTTACAGGAAATAGTGCTTTTTGCGTTCCTATGCACTTCTGCATCTGTTCTTCTTTTACTCTCATTTGAGAGCGTAAAATTGTAGTTTGACAGTTCCACAGGTTTTATTCCGAAGTTCAAAGGAACAGACTAAACAGGTACTTTGCTTTCACCGCTGTTTGTTTTAGCTTGCACATGCAAATCAGCTGATCGTTTGACACTTTTCATGAACTTGCAGGAAAAAAACTCCGGACTAAATCCTGTAATTTCTGACTAGGAACAGTTGCTCAGTTACTCTCTCAAATGTGTTCCCACTTACAGTTTTATGTCAATAGGAACGACTTCCTGTAAGTTCTGACTAAATCCTGTAAACCGGACTGCTATTGGAACAGACTAAATATATCCTTGTTGTTGTTGTTGTAGCGGCTACAACAACCCCGCCCAGGACGGTTGGTATCTCAGCGCGCAGCTTCTGTGGGGTTGGTCCACAGGGACAAGGTCGTTAGGGTTGTCGGGTTTTCCGGGCATGCGAAGAGATGTTTCGAGTCATGTGGGGTCTCTCCGCATGCCGGACACTCATTTGGCACATCCTCATTCAATCTACTCAGGTAGGAGTTTAACCTGGTGCAGTAGCCGGAGCGAAGTTGTGCTAGTGTCCTTCTCTAACGGCGCTTTTACACGGGTTTTTGTCAACATTGGGCCTAAATCCCAATTTTCCATAAGTATGTTATTGAGAGCATAAATAGCTGTGTCGAATTAGGGGTTCAATAGGAAAGCGATTTGAGAATTTCAGTTTGTATGGGAGGTACCATGCCTCGTTTTCCAAAATTACCCGCTGATCTCCGTAACTATGTATGTATGTATATATGTATATCAAAAATATGGTTCATTGTGCTCTAAAAAAATCTGTGTGCAAGATTAAAATTTTTGGTCAACATCTTAGGCTCGCCCATGTCCATCAAAGTTCAGGTGCTAAAATAAAGTTTCTCTTAGCTTACTTAGAGCCTCTGCAAAAAAGGTCCATATACCAAATATGTAGGACTAATACTTCCAAAGATAGTGGCAATTTTAGTAAAAAAATAATAATTATCTAATTTATTTATTAATTTTTATTTTTTTTAGCACATTCAACTTTGATAGACTTGGGCGAGCCTAAGATATAAACCAAAAATTTCATCTTTCCCACAGTTTTTTTTATGGTTCTGCTATTACCAATCAAAATTCCAAAAAGCGGATTTTCGGCCCACGCTAATATATATGTATGTATGTATATATGTTTGTATGTATATCTGTAACAAAAAGTAAATATATGGAGGCGTATGGAGGTATTTACATATACACATCTGCCAAAAATTATAAACAAAGCGCTTCCTCTACGAAGCGTCAAAGATATTGCGGATCACAATGCCAGCGTTCATTGGTTTCTGTGTGAACAAAAAGCTTTCTGCTGTCTTTGCTACTTAACTTGACGCAGACAAAGCGCATCCATATATACATATACATATATGTCTGCAAAACGTTCTATGTCCTTATTACCTTTGGTGCTTAATTGATCTGTTATCTGTATCCGATTCGCTTCTGGCAATCGTTTATCTTCATAAGCCAATGGTAGTCAGTTTTATCATTCGTTTTTTAGGGTGTAACGATTTGCAGATGCATTCCGGTGCAAGTAAGAGACCATCTAAGTGTCAAGGGTACTAATAGACATAGACCGTTTTGCAGTATCACCGACGATATGTATAAATACTGTAGTAGATACAAGAGCGCCACATCATCGTTTTTCCCCTGCGAATTTCATCATACACGACGACTTCTACTTTTTCCACAAACATTTTTAAATTCTTAGAAAGCCCCTCAAATCAAATTCTTGCTCCCCTCTCCATCTTACTGATAACTCCTCAAAAAATATACTGGAAAATTTTAAAGTTCTAACTTGTTTTGTTTAAGCTTATTTGAAACATTCTACGTCTGATTTTTCGTTAATAAAAAGAAAATTATAAAACTTACCAAATTCGTACCTCTTCACATGCAAATGCAACGTGAAAATTACAACAAAAGCAAATTAACAAGCAAATAAAGTGTAAGCAGAGAAAAAGTATGTAAGTAAAATAGTGGTGGGGTGGAGGGTCATTTGTGTCGATCTCATTGAACGAATGCGTTTTGTTATGTATTTAATTTCAATATACATACATCTGTACATCGTATGTATGTACATAGTTTTTTGCAGCGCTTTAGGGGATAGATAAATAGATACGTATGTACATATGTATGTAGATATCAATAGAGTAAGTACGTCTATTGCGCACTAGTGGGAGCTTGGAGTCTAGCTTGTCCCTGTTCCTAGAAGATGGGACCTTACCTTTGGCAAAGCGCTCACTCGCGAAGTTTAGGAGAGTTCGCCTTGCCGCTTGTTCAACAGTAAGATGAAGTGGCTACAGTTCAAGGATTATTTCCAGCGCTACCTTCGGACATGTGCTCCTAGGTTCAGTGATACAAACACGTCAGACATTGAGTCTTGGCGAGAAACCTGCGTTACTGTTGCCAGAGTAGTCATGGAAGCCAAAGCCACTGCCACAAAAGTTATTATTGCTCTACATACAATCATGATGGGGCCCATCACCAGTATTTCATCACGAGACATTTGCACATCATCAGCGCTCTCGTAGCCTTGGAAGTACACGCCTCAACATGAGTCCTCCACAGGAGTTTTTGCGAGTTAATTTGGCTCGCTCCGGTTACGTAGACCCAATTGTCGTGGGAATGGCGCAATTTATATACTTTCATCTCCTGTGGTTTGGAAATAAAAGAGTTATGATATTTATAATACGTTACGTTTTGCAGTTCTGGAAAGTACAAGAATAGTAATTTTACATAAGCAGACTGTGCCCTCGCCACGTATTTTAATTGTTTCCATTTCCCATTAGATAAGCAGCGTCGCCAGTTAATGCAATATACGATAAGCAGAACACCAGTATCAGCTGTTTTTTGTGTTTTATGAATAAATTATTTACTTTCATACATATCTATGTACATATATAGATGTAGCCATATACATATATATAGATATGTATATAAACGTACTTAGCTAAATATATAGAAACATATGGAAATTTATTTTTATATATTTGTATACGTACGTACATATATGTGTACATACATACATGTGTACATACATTATCTAGATAATTTCATAATTTCCAGGGGCATTATTGGGATATTATGGTGAGCAGTGGACAAATTTTTCTGGCAGTGTTGTAAAGCGCTAAACGAAAGTGATCACTGTGATTTTATTAAGAGAAAAGCCAAAACTGAATAGGCAAATGATTCATTTTATTTTGAAAAAAAAAAAACATTCTGCCGAACAATTTAATAGACAACATTTAACTACAAAATAAAAAATACTCGGGGACTACAGCAGGATTCAGTATAATATTTAGTTGAAATGGGCCCCTTTCATGGCGCAATAAACAGGTGACATAATAAAACAGCTTTCCCTCTTTATTTTCTGTCCCTTTACTTAAACTTTGTACAAGGTGCACATAATTAATCGTCTAATTTTGTTATGGATTAACTTTTGTATTAAAAAAAAAAAATTATTTTGAGTGATGGAAATCTTTATTTTTTCTATTAAAATATGAAGTTCACGCCGAACGACGCTTGCGGCGTTTAAACGAGTCAAGCAATAAGCTGTTTGACGTTTTTACAGGAAAGTCCTATTTTTGTTTCGGTTATTTTTGGTTGCAACTCTCTTTTTACTCTCGCTATAGAGAGTAATTTTCCTATGTGACATTTTTACAGGATTTTCACGAAAAGGACCGGATCAGAGCTAACTCAGGGTTTACACCGGACAATACTGTCATGACAATAGCAATCCATGCACATTTTTTCACTAATACATGCATACCTTTCCATTGGAACAATTTTGACAACTTAAGGCCCTGTCTCCACAGGAAAACACTGATGTCGTGATAACCATGTCACAAAATAGTTTGACAGCCATATTTTCATTTTGAAAGAAAGCGTGTTGGTGGTAACATCGATGAAATTTTGATATTAAATCAAAATAAAAATCTGTTACCTATTGGATTATTTATGAATACGTTTTAGGAAATCATTCAGCAAGTTTTTTAAAAATTTAAATAGTTTTACACACCGAAATTGAGAAAATGTTGTCTAGTGGCGTCATGCGGCAAATGCTTATTTCAAGACATCAAAGTGCCCACACACAAAAACTTGCAATCATATTGCTCGTCTAAATGACAGTTGTTAGGCCATCGGTGTTTGCCTATGGAGTTCTGCGGTAAGCGAAACGCACATTAGCACGATTCACACGTTGCGAATCCGCAGAGCTATAATTTACAACAATGCCACCGATATATTTTAATGAGCTAGCGCACTCTTGCACGATTCTGTCGCTGCGAATTTTTCGAACATTCAGGCTGCGTTTCTTTATACATTCCGGATAATCCAATTTCACAGCCGGAATAAACAGAATGCGTTTGAAATATACGTCAACATATCATCAGGAACGTTCTAAAGAATAAATAAACAAAAAAGTTTATTCCAAACGTTCAGAATGAATAAAGAAATGCAGTCTCAATGTTCCCCTCATTTGACGCGTTCGAAACGCGGCTTGCAGCATTTTGAAGGCGTCAAAGAAGAGGAAGAAATGTGTCATAGCAATAAATTCAAAGAAAAAAAAAACGTCTGATGTCCAAAAACTAATAGAACACGTTCGTAATAATACTATTTTTTACGATTTGAACACGCCGAGTGCACAAATACAAGAAAAAAGGGAAAATTAAGTGAATTGTACATCAGAATTCGACGCGAAAAAATGCGCAATTGCGCACGTTTGCGGATTCGAAGTTAACAACTGAATTCGCAACGTATTCGCAGCGTTAGAATCGCGCTGTGCGCTGCGCTTAATACACATATCTTCATTGTCCTGAAAGCATTGTCCAATGTAAACGCGCCGTAAGTTACGTAAATGCAAGGAAAAAGTCAAGAAACGCAGCTTCGCGCTAGTTACCAACACTCCACGAAAAATATCCCACTCACGCGAAAGAGATAGAAAACCGATGAAAATTAATTTTTCACAAATACGCAGTTGGCGAATGTGATGTAAAAACAATTATTTCCAACAAATTTCAACTGCACTTCATATGTCACGATCAAACCACGCACTAAATTCGTAAAGTAAGCAAAGATTTTAATGCGATTAAATAAAGTAGTGCGGAAATGGCAAATAATTTGAAAGCCGAACAAAAACTGTGCGAGAGGGATAGTAAATGTGCTCTTTGTTGTACATAGCGGCCATTGCGCCCAACTTTCCAGGCAGATAAAGGAAATTATATATTTTCCCCTATATTCGCCCATTGCTATAAATACGGAGAATTGGTATGACACTGCTTAAACGATATTAGACATTTGTGAATTAAACACTTTGAGGTTTACCAGCGCTTGTTGATAGTGATAATTTTCTGTGAAAACTAGTGAGCTTTGAAATATATATAAAGGGAAAGAAAATATTTTTAAGAAAATAAGCAAACGTGAGCAGAAGAACCATCAATTAATTATATTGAAAAACCAATTTCTGTGTAAAAAAAGAGGTTAAGGTGAGTGAGTTATGCAAATACATATGCATTATTTCTTAATAAAATTGTGAGAAGTGCATTTATATAAACTAAATTTTCGTTTTGGGCAGTTGAATAAAAGTAGAATTGTGTCTACATGCAATTTGCCTTGCGCTTGTGAAATCAATCGATTTTCCGCCTTGCAAGATGGCGTCGTGTGTCCCCATTCAATGCATGAGCCAATCGCAGCTCATGATTCAATGAGCATACATATTTATGTATATACAGTGGGGAGCAGAAATAAGTACAGGGTGGTTTTTGTTAAATATTTGCAAGGTTTTTAAAGTAAATTTTAAAAAATTTTTTTTCATAAATTGTTTTAGCCAAAACTATGTAAATGAAACTGCAACTTTATACAGCGCTTATAAAATTAACAGTTTTTTTTAATTAAAATTTCGACTTTCTCCTGGTTTTTTGGAATTGCAAAATCGTTCTGATTTTAAATAATCGGCACTAATCTATTAATAATGTCGGTTGGGAATATGGTATATTTTTCAAATTTCCGGGTTCAGCTGCAAACAAAAAATATCTACGAAACATCTCTGCAAAAGGTGTTCGCCTCTTCTTCGGCAACAAAGTAGAATTTTACTTAGTGAGGGTTATAATCTCTAAGCCACGCCCCTCCGCCCCGCAAAATCGTTGTACAAATAAGTAAAATTTCCCTTTTCTTTCTGACGGCTTTTGCATTTTTCTCTTTTCAATTTATAAAAACGCGTTGAATTTTTTTATTTTTTTTTTTTGCAAACGATAAGAAATTCATGTTTACATATGTATGTACATATATCGAAAAAAAAATCAAAAGTCCACGCGATTTTGCAACCCTTTAACTCGCACTTATACTAAAATTTAATGGGCAACCGAACTGCATTCTTAAAATAATTCCAAAAAAATCTGTTAAAAAATGGAAATTATAAAAATTTGTTAAATTTTTACTTAGTCCTGTATAAAGTTTGATTTATGTGTATGGTTTTGTTTAAAGCATGAACCATATTTTTATGAAAAACTAACAAAAAAAATTTCTTAAAAAACCTTGCAAATATTTAACAAAAATCACCGTGCTCTCATTTCTGCTACTCACTATGCATATACATAGTATGTATATACAGTGGTGGAGGAATAAATAGGCACTCGACATTTTAACAAATTTTTCCTGTTTTTCCTTTGTGTACTATTTATTATGTTCTTTATAAAAAGTATAGCTCATTATCTAACAAAAACCGTATAAATTCATATTTCCAACTTTATGCAAAAATTTCGCAAAACGGCCTAAATTTTTTGTTTAATGTTTTTGATTATGGCGTTATGGCCCATTCAATTTTAGTAGAATAAAGCATGATAAAAATATTTATAAATATTTGTATCATGGAATAAAGTGCAGGTTTGAAGTTCCTGAAAAATCGCGTTGATTTTTTATAATTTTTATTCTGAATGTATTACGCACCGTTTTTTCATACAAAAAAATTGTTTGTATGGAAGAAAATGCGTAAAAAAATTGCCAAAAATTAACGCATTTTTTTAGCAACTTAAAACTTGCACTTCATTCCACTCAAATTTAATGGGGCTTATAACTACATACTCAAAAAATTCTAAAAAATCTGATTAAAAAGTTGAAAATTTAGCAGAATTTTTGTAATTTTTGCACAAAGTTTGAAATATGAATTTATTTGGTTTTTGTTAGATAAAGGTAAAAAAAAATTATAAATTTGAAATAAACGAAAGAAAAAATAGGCAAAATTTGAAAAACTGTGTCCCTATTTATTTGTCCACCACTGTATATACTTATACATACATCTATATTAAATTAATCGCTTGTATTTTTTCTGGCTGAAAATTCGATAGTGTAAAAAAGGATGAGTCATCGAATAGATCTTTCTGGAATTACAATAAGCAATCGTATCAAGTGTTCAATCATTTGTCTTTTAATCTGTAAAGTCATCTAGGGCTATTTCGTCGACAAGTAGGCTTGCATGTTTTATGTATTTATAAACAAAGCAGCATTTTCTGCTGTTACCTGGCTGATTGTTTTCGACATCTGTAGGTCTAAACGACTAAAATATTAAAAAAAACTAATCGATTTGTTTATTTTGTTCGTGTATTTTGCAGCTCTCTTTCAAAAATGCAAATCTTCGTGAAGACTTTGACTGGCAAGACCATCACTCTGGAGGTTGAACCATCCGATACTATTGAGAATGTAAAAGCCAAGATTCAAGACAAAGAGGGTATTCCACCAGATCAGCAACGTTTAATCTTTGCCGGCAAACAATTGGAAGACGGACGCACCTTGTCCGATTACAACATCCAAAAGGAGTCTACACTTCATCTGGTTCTTCGTCTACGTGGTGGCATGCAGATTTTCGTCAAAACTTTGACGGGTAAAACCATCACTTTGGAGGTTGAGCCTTCCGATACCATTGAGAATGTCAAAGCTAAAATTCAGGATAAGGAAGGAATCCCACCAGATCAACAACGTTTAATTTTCGCTGGCAAGCAGTTGGAGGATGGACGCACATTGTCTGACTACAATATTCAGAAGGAATCTACATTGCATTTAGTTTTGCGCCTACGTGGAGGTATGCAAATATTTGTTAAAACATTGACTGGCAAAACCATCACTCTGGAGGTTGAACCTTCCGATACTATCGAAAATGTGAAAGCCAAAATCCAAGATAAGGAAGGTATCCCACCAGATCAACAGCGTTTAATCTTCGCCGGCAAGCAGCTCGAAGATGGCCGCACCTTGTCCGATTATAACATACAAAAAGAGTCTACCCTGCATTTAGTCCTGCGTCTCCGTGGTGGTATGCAAATCTTCGTGAAGACCCTAACTGGCAAAACTATCACCTTGGAGGTTGAGCCATCAGACACCATCGAAAATGTTAAAGCCAAGATCCAAGATAAGGAAGGTATTCCCCCAGATCAGCAGCGTTTGATCTTCGCCGGCAAACAGCTTGAAGATGGCCGCACCTTGTCTGACTACAACATCCAAAAGGAGTCTACTCTGCATTTGGTCCTGCGTCTTCGTGGTGGTATGCAGATATTTGTGAAGACCCTAACTGGTAAAACCATCACGTTGGAGGTTGAGCCATCCGACACCATTGAGAACGTCAAAGCTAAGATCCAGGACAAGGAGGGTATTCCTCCAGATCAGCAGCGTTTAATCTTCGCCGGCAAGCAACTCGAAGATGGCCGCACCTTGTCCGACTACAACATCCAAAAGGAGTCTACGCTCCACTTGGTTCTGCGTCTGCGCGGAGGAATGCAAATCTTCGTGAAGACCCTGACTGGCAAAACTATAACCTTGGAGGTTGAGCCATCCGACACCATTGAAAACGTCAAGGCCAAGATTCAAGACAAGGAAGGTATTCCTCCAGACCAGCAACGTTTGATTTTTGCTGGTAAGCAGCTCGAAGACGGGNTACCATGCCTCGTTTTCCAAAATTACCCGCTGATCTCCGTAACTATGTATGTATGTATATATGTATATCAAAAATATGGTTCATTGTGCTCTAAAAAAATCTGTGTGCAAGATTAAAATTTTTGGTCAACATCTTAGGCTCGCCCATGTCCATCAAAGTTCAGGTGCTAAAATAAAGTTTCTCTTAGCTTACTTAGAGCCTCTGCAAAAAAGGTCCATATACCAAATATGTAGGACTAATACTTCCAAAGATAGTGGCAATTTTAGTAAAAAAATAATAATTATCTAATTTATTTATTAATTTTTATTTTTTTTAGCACATTCAACTTTGATAGACTTGGGCGAGCCTAAGATATAAACCAAAAATTTCATCTTTCCCACAGTTTTTTTTATGGTTCTGCTATTACCAATCAAAATTCCAAAAAGCGGATTTTCGGCCCACGCTAATATATATGTATGTATGTATATATGTTTGTATGTATATCTGTAACAAAAAGTAAATATATGGAGGCGTATGGAGGTATTTACATATACACATCTGCCAAAAATTATAAACAAAGCGCTTCCTCTACGAAGCGTCAAAGATATTGCGGATCACAATGCCAGCGTTCATTGGTTTCTGTGTGAACAAAAAGCTTTCTGCTGTCTTTGCTACTTAACTTGACGCAGACAAAGCGCATCCATATATACATATACATATATGTCTGCAAAACGTTCTATGTCCTTATTACCTTTGGTGCTTAATTGATCTGTTATCTGTATCCGATTCGCTTCTGGCAATCGTTTATCTTCATAAGCCAATGGTAGTCAGTTTTATCATTCGTTTTTTAGGGTGTAACGATTTGCAGATGCATTCCGGTGCAAGTAAGAGACCATCTAAGTGTCAAGGGTACTAATAGACATAGACCGTTTTGCAGTATCACCGACGATATGTATAAATACTGTAGTAGATACAAGAGCGCCACATCATCGTTTTTCCCCTGCGAATTTCATCATACACGACGACTTCTACTTTTTCCACAAACATTTTTAAATTCTTAGAAAGCCCCTCAAATCAAATTCTTGCTCCCCTCTCCATCTTACTGATAACTCCTCAAAAAATATACTGGAAAATTTTAAAGTTCTAACTTGTTTTGTTTAAGCTTATTTGAAACATTCTACGTCTGATTTTTCGTTAATAAAAAGAAAATTATAAAACTTACCAAATTCGTACCTCTTCACATGCAAATGCAACGTGAAAATTACAACAAAAGCAAATTAACAAGCAAATAAAGTGTAAGCAGAGAAAAAGTATGTAAGTAAAATAGTGGTGGGGTGGAGGGTCATTTGTGTCGATCTCATTGAACGAATGCGTTTTGTTATGTATTTAATTTCAATATACATACATCTGTACATCGTATGTATGTACATAGTTTTTTGCAGCGCTTTAGGGGATAGATAAATAGATACGTATGTACATATGTATGTAGATATCAATAGAGTAAGTACGTCTATTGCGCACTAGTGGGAGCTTGGAGTCTAGCTTGTCCCTGTTCCTAGAAGATGGGACCTTACCTTTGGCAAAGCGCTCACTCGCGAAGTTTAGGAGAGTTCGCCTTGCCGCTTGTTCAACAGTAAGATGAAGTGGCTACAGTTCAAGGATTATTTCCAGCGCTACCTTCGGACATGTGCTCCTAGGTTCAGTGATACAAACACGTCAGACATTGAGTCTTGGCGAGAAACCTGCGTTACTGTTGCCAGAGTAGTCATGGAAGCCAAAGCCACTGCCACAAAAGTTATTATTGCTCTACATACAATCATGATGGGGCCCATCACCAGTATTTCATCACGAGACATTTGCACATCATCAGCGCTCTCGTAGCCTTGGAAGTACACGCCTCAACATGAGTCCTCCACAGGAGTTTTTGCGAGTTAATTTGGCTCGCTCCGGTTACGTAGACCCAATTGTCGTGGGAATGGCGCAATTTATATACTTTCATCTCCTGTGGTTTGGAAATAAAAGAGTTATGATATTTATAATACGTTACGTTTTGCAGTTCTGGAAAGTACAAGAATAGTAATTTTACATAAGCAGACTGTGCCCTCGCCACGTATTTTAATTGTTTCCATTTCCCATTAGATAAGCAGCGTCGCCAGTTAATGCAATATACGATAAGCAGAACACCAGTATCAGCTGTTTTTTGTGTTTTATGAATAAATTATTTACTTTCATACATATCTATGTACATATATAGATGTAGCCATATACATATATATAGATATGTATATAAACGTACTTAGCTAAATATATAGAAACATATGGAAATTTATTTTTATATATTTGTATACGTACGTACATATATGTGTACATACATACATGTGTACATACATTATCTAGATAATTTCATAATTTCCAGGGGCATTATTGGGATATTATGGTGAGCAGTGGACAAATTTTTCTGGCAGTGTTGTAAAGCGCTAAACGAAAGTGATCACTGTGATTTTATTAAGAGAAAAGCCAAAACTGAATAGGCAAATGATTCATTTTATTTTGAAAAAAAAAAAACATTCTGCCGAACAATTTAATAGACAACATTTAACTACAAAATAAAAAATACTCGGGGACTACAGCAGGATTCAGTATAATATTTAGTTGAAATGGGCCCCTTTCATGGCGCAATAAACAGGTGACATAATAAAACAGCTTTCCCTCTTTATTTTCTGTCCCTTTACTTAAACTTTGTACAAGGTGCACATAATTAATCGTCTAATTTTGTTATGGATTAACTTTTGTATTAAAAAAAAAAAATTATTTTGAGTGATGGAAATCTTTATTTTTTCTATTAAAATATGAAGTTCACGCCGAACGACGCTTGCGGCGTTTAAACGAGTCAAGCAATAAGCTGTTTGACGTTTTTACAGGAAAGTCCTATTTTTGTTTCGGTTATTTTTGGTTGCAACTCTCTTTTTACTCTCGCTATAGAGAGTAATTTTCCTATGTGACATTTTTACAGGATTTTCACGAAAAGGACCGGATCAGAGCTAACTCAGGGTTTACACCGGACAATACTGTCATGACAATAGCAATCCATGCACATTTTTTCACTAATACATGCATACCTTTCCATTGGAACAATTTTGACAACTTAAGGCCCTGTCTCCACAGGAAAACACTGATGTCGTGATAACCATGTCACAAAATAGTTTGACAGCCATATTTTCATTTTGAAAGAAAGCGTGTTGGTGGTAACATCGATGAAATTTTGATATTAAATCAAAATAAAAATCTGTTACCTATTGGATTATTTATGAATACGTTTTAGGAAATCATTCAGCAAGTTTTTTAAAAATTTAAATAGTTTTACACACCGAAATTGAGAAAATGTTGTCTAGTGGCGTCATGCGGCAAATGCTTATTTCAAGACATCAAAGTGCCCACACACAAAAACTTGCAATCATATTGCTCGTCTAAATGACAGTTGTTAGGCCATCGGTGTTTGCCTATGGAGTTCTGCGGTAAGCGAAACGCACATTAGCACGATTCACACGTTGCGAATCCGCAGAGCTATAATTTACAACAATGCCACCGATATATTTTAATGAGCTAGCGCACTCTTGCACGATTCTGTCGCTGCGAATTTTTCGAACATTCAGGCTGCGTTTCTTTATACATTCCGGATAATCCAATTTCACAGCCGGAATAAACAGAATGCGTTTGAAATATACGTCAACATATCATCAGGAACGTTCTAAAGAATAAATAAACAAAAAAGTTTATTCCAAACGTTCAGAATGAATAAAGAAATGCAGTCTCAATGTTCCCCTCATTTGACGCGTTCGAAACGCGGCTTGCAGCATTTTGAAGGCGTCAAAGAAGAGGAAGAAATGTGTCATAGCAATAAATTCAAAGAAAAAAAAAACGTCTGATGTCCAAAAACTAATAGAACACGTTCGTAATAATACTATTTTTTACGATTTGAACACGCCGAGTGCACAAATACAAGAAAAAAGGGAAAATTAAGTGAATTGTACATCAGAATTCGACGCGAAAAAATGCGCAATTGCGCACGTTTGCGGATTCGAAGTTAACAACTGAATTCGCAACGTATTCGCAGCGTTAGAATCGCGCTGTGCGCTGCGCTTAATACACATATCTTCATTGTCCTGAAAGCATTGTCCAATGTAAACGCGCCGTAAGTTACGTAAATGCAAGGAAAAAGTCAAGAAACGCAGCTTCGCGCTAGTTACCAACACTCCACGAAAAATATCCCACTCACGCGAAAGAGATAGAAAACCGATGAAAATTAATTTTTCACAAATACGCAGTTGGCGAATGTGATGTAAAAACAATTATTTCCAACAAATTTCAACTGCACTTCATATGTCACGATCAAACCACGCACTAAATTCGTAAAGTAAGCAAAGATTTTAATGCGATTAAATAAAGTAGTGCGGAAATGGCAAATAATTTGAAAGCCGAACAAAAACTGTGCGAGAGGGATAGTAAATGTGCTCTTTGTTGTACATAGCGGCCATTGCGCCCAACTTTCCAGGCAGATAAAGGAAATTATATATTTTCCCCTATATTCGCCCATTGCTATAAATACGGAGAATTGGTATGACACTGCTTAAACGATATTAGACATTTGTGAATTAAACACTTTGAGGTTTACCAGCGCTTGTTGATAGTGATAATTTTCTGTGAAAACTAGTGAGCTTTGAAATATATATAAAGGGAAAGAAAATATTTTTAAGAAAATAAGCAAACGTGAGCAGAAGAACCATCAATTAATTATATTGAAAAACCAATTTCTGTGTAAAAAAAGAGGTTAAGGTGAGTGAGTTATGCAAATACATATGCATTATTTCTTAATAAAATTGTGAGAAGTGCATTTATATAAACTAAATTTTCGTTTTGGGCAGTTGAATAAAAGTAGAATTGTGTCTACATGCAATTTGCCTTGCGCTTGTGAAATCAATCGATTTTCCGCCTTGCAAGATGGCGTCGTGTGTCCCCATTCAATGCATGAGCCAATCGCAGCTCATGATTCAATGAGCATACATATTTATGTATATACAGTGGGGAGCAGAAATAAGTACAGGGTGGTTTTTGTTAAATATTTGCAAGGTTTTTAAAGTAAATTTTAAAAAATTTTTTTTCATAAATTGTTTTAGCCAAAACTATGTAAATGAAACTGCAACTTTATACAGCGCTTATAAAATTAACAGTTTTTTTTAATTAAAATTTCGACTTTCTCCTGGTTTTTTGGAATTGCAAAATCGTTCTGATTTTAAATAATCGGCACTAATCTATTAATAATGTCGGTTGGGAATATGGTATATTTTTCAAATTTCCGGGTTCAGCTGCAAACAAAAAATATCTACGAAACATCTCTGCAAAAGGTGTTCGCCTCTTCTTCGGCAACAAAGTAGAATTTTACTTAGTGAGGGTTATAATCTCTAAGCCACGCCCCTCCGCCCCGCAAAATCGTTGTACAAATAAGTAAAATTTCCCTTTTCTTTCTGACGGCTTTTGCATTTTTCTCTTTTCAATTTATAAAAACGCGTTGAATTTTTTTATTTTTTTTTTTTGCAAACGATAAGAAATTCATGTTTACATATGTATGTACATATATCGAAAAAAAAATCAAAAGTCCACGCGATTTTGCAACCCTTTAACTCGCACTTATACTAAAATTTAATGGGCAACCGAACTGCATTCTTAAAATAATTCCAAAAAAATCTGTTAAAAAATGGAAATTATAAAAATTTGTTAAATTTTTACTTAGTCCTGTATAAAGTTTGATTTATGTGTATGGTTTTGTTTAAAGCATGAACCATATTTTTATGAAAAACTAACAAAAAAAATTTCTTAAAAAACCTTGCAAATATTTAACAAAAATCACCGTGCTCTCATTTCTGCTACTCACTATGCATATACATAGTATGTATATACAGTGGTGGAGGAATAAATAGGCACTCGACATTTTAACAAATTTTTCCTGTTTTTCCTTTGTGTACTATTTATTATGTTCTTTATAAAAAGTATAGCTCATTATCTAACAAAAACCGTATAAATTCATATTTCCAACTTTATGCAAAAATTTCGCAAAACGGCCTAAATTTTTTGTTTAATGTTTTTGATTATGGCGTTATGGCCCATTCAATTTTAGTAGAATAAAGCATGATAAAAATATTTATAAATATTTGTATCATGGAATAAAGTGCAGGTTTGAAGTTCCTGAAAAATCGCGTTGATTTTTTATAATTTTTATTCTGAATGTATTACGCACCGTTTTTTCATACAAAAAAATTGTTTGTATGGAAGAAAATGCGTAAAAAAATTGCCAAAAATTAACGCATTTTTTTAGCAACTTAAAACTTGCACTTCATTCCACTCAAATTTAATGGGGCTTATAACTACATACTCAAAAAATTCTAAAAAATCTGATTAAAAAGTTGAAAATTTAGCAGAATTTTTGTAATTTTTGCACAAAGTTTGAAATATGAATTTATTTGGTTTTTGTTAGATAAAGGTAAAAAAAAATTATAAATTTGAAATAAACGAAAGAAAAAATAGGCAAAATTTGAAAAACTGTGTCCCTATTTATTTGTCCACCACTGTATATACTTATACATACATCTATATTAAATTAATCGCTTGTATTTTTTCTGGCTGAAAATTCGATAGTGTAAAAAAGGATGAGTCATCGAATAGATCTTTCTGGAATTACAATAAGCAATCGTATCAAGTGTTCAATCATTTGTCTTTTAATCTGTAAAGTCATCTAGGGCTATTTCGTCGACAAGTAGGCTTGCATGTTTTATGTATTTATAAACAAAGCAGCATTTTCTGCTGTTACCTGGCTGATTGTTTTCGACATCTGTAGGTCTAAACGACTAAAATATTAAAAAAAACTAATCGATTTGTTTATTTTGTTCGTGTATTTTGCAGCTCTCTTTCAAAAATGCAAATCTTCGTGAAGACTTTGACTGGCAAGACCATCACTCTGGAGGTTGAACCATCCGATACTATTGAGAATGTAAAAGCCAAGATTCAAGACAAAGAGGGTATTCCACCAGATCAGCAACGTTTAATCTTTGCCGGCAAACAATTGGAAGACGGACGCACCTTGTCCGATTACAACATCCAAAAGGAGTCTACACTTCATCTGGTTCTTCGTCTACGTGGTGGCATGCAGATTTTCGTCAAAACTTTGACGGGTAAAACCATCACTTTGGAGGTTGAGCCTTCCGATACCATTGAGAATGTCAAAGCTAAAATTCAGGATAAGGAAGGAATCCCACCAGATCAACAACGTTTAATTTTCGCTGGCAAGCAGTTGGAGGATGGACGCACATTGTCTGACTACAATATTCAGAAGGAATCTACATTGCATTTAGTTTTGCGCCTACGTGGAGGTATGCAAATATTTGTTAAAACATTGACTGGCAAAACCATCACTCTGGAGGTTGAACCTTCCGATACTATCGAAAATGTGAAAGCCAAAATCCAAGATAAGGAAGGTATCCCACCAGATCAACAGCGTTTAATCTTCGCCGGCAAGCAGCTCGAAGATGGCCGCACCTTGTCCGATTATAACATACAAAAAGAGTCTACCCTGCATTTAGTCCTGCGTCTCCGTGGTGGTATGCAAATCTTCGTGAAGACCCTAACTGGCAAAACTATCACCTTGGAGGTTGAGCCATCAGACACCATCGAAAATGTTAAAGCCAAGATCCAAGATAAGGAAGGTATTCCCCCAGATCAGCAGCGTTTGATCTTCGCCGGCAAACAGCTTGAAGATGGCCGCACCTTGTCTGACTACAACATCCAAAAGGAGTCTACTCTGCATTTGGTCCTGCGTCTTCGTGGTGGTATGCAGATATTTGTGAAGACCCTAACTGGTAAAACCATCACGTTGGAGGTTGAGCCATCCGACACCATTGAGAACGTCAAAGCTAAGATCCAGGACAAGGAGGGTATTCCTCCAGATCAGCAGCGTTTAATCTTCGCCGGCAAGCAACTCGAAGATGGCCGCACCTTGTCCGACTACAACATCCAAAAGGAGTCTACGCTCCACTTGGTTCTGCGTCTGCGCGGAGGAATGCAAATCTTCGTGAAGACCCTGACTGGCAAAACTATAACCTTGGAGGTTGAGCCATCCGACACCATTGAAAACGTCAAGGCCAAGATTCAAGACAAGGAAGGTATTCCTCCAGACCAGCAACGTTTGATTTTTGCTGGTAAGCAGCTCGAAGACGGGCGCACCTTGTCGGACTACAACATCCAAAAGGAGTCTACCCTCCATTTGGTCCTGCGTCTCCGTGGTGGTATGCAAATCTTCGTGAAGACCCTAACTGGTAAAACCATCACCTTGGAGGTTGAGCCGTCAGACACCATCGAAAACGTCAAGGCCAAGATTCAAGATAAAGAAGGCATTCCTCCAGATCAACAACGTTTGATTTTCGCCGGTAAACAATTGGAAGACGGCCGCACCTTGTCGGACTACAACATCCAAAAGGAGTCTACCCTCCATTTGGTCCTGCGTCTTCGCGGTGGTATGCAAATTTTCGTCAAGACTCTGACTGGCAAAACCATCACCTTGGAGGTTGAGCCGTCAGACACCATCGAGAACGTTAAGGCCAAGATCCAGGACAAAGAAGGTATCCCACCAGATCAACAGCGTTTAATCTTCGCCGGCAAGCAGCTCGAAGATGGCCGTACTTTGTCCGATTATAACATCCAAAAGGAGTCTACCCTCCATTTGGTCCTGCGTCTTCGCGGTGGTATGCAGATCTTCGTGAAGACACTGACCGGTAAAACCATCACCTTGGAGGTTGAGCCGTCAGACACCATCGAAAATGTTAAAGCCAAAATCCAGGATAAGGAAGGTATTCCTCCAGATCAACAGCGTTTGATTTTTGCCGGTAAACAGTTGGAAGACGGCCGTACTTTGTCCGACTACAATATTCAGAAGGAATCGACTCTCCATTTGGTGCTTCGTCTTCGCGGAGGCGCATTCTAAATTTAAATGGAAACAACCAAATTCAAAATTCAGAGTATTCATTGCATCTCGTTAATTTAGCTCTATTTTGTATTTTAACGCTTTAAATCAGTTCTGAGTAAAAATTGAAATATACCGTTTTTTATGTTTTAAAAGAAAATAAATTTTCTGATGCATTATATGAGGAAAAATTTGTTATTTTATTGGTTGGATCTGTTTGTTTATCTAAAGATGACTGGACATTTTCCTAGGTAGGTATTATTTCAGCATAGGAATGTAAAATATCTTGCAAAGCTGGTTTGAAAAAGTGGGCGAGGATAAAGATCTCATTTAACAATGGTTCGAATACAGCCTTGTTTTTCCTGCTTAGGCAAAGGTGGTATCTTTTTTCCTTGGAAGTCCGATGAGATTTGGCGATTTTAGAAAAGAGCAATGATTAGGCATATTTTGATTTTTTTCTTGCAAATGGGTCAGTTCGTAAATGCCTACTTCAAAAAACAGCGCTTTTCATTTCTAAACTTTAATTGTTGGAAATGTCCAGCAAATGCCTTATTTACGCAACTAAGTTCCAATTAGGCATTTAACCCTGGTTGCGCATATTGGGCATTTCCATCAATTATGGTTCAGAAATAAATGCGTCTGATGCTTAGGCTTGATGCATTTCTGAACACAGGGCCTGTTCGAGGCACGTAATAAAAACGGCAGTACTGCAGCGCTGATGAAAATTTGCATGACTCTTGCAACTTCCCAATTGATAAAACGTTGCCAAAAATCTAAACAGAACTTGATACTTTAATAATTCGCGCAACACGGCGGTTGTGATTGGAACTCGAACAAGCCCACACTCATAATCACGTTTAGACTGGATTCACACAGAGCAACTTTTATTTATCATTTTCGGCAACTTCTCTTTGGTGTTGCCCTTCGCGTTCACACAGCAACTATTTTGTACACAATTGTTGTCTGCTGTGAACCGCCAACTTGAATGGCTCAGACGAACGAGACCACAAAGCGTGTTGCCCGAGCACGAGCTACTCGTCGCCATTTCCCGCAAACTTCGAGTTGTCGCAATTGTTGCTGTCCGCAAACTTGAATTATAGCTCAGTTATGCATATTTTGCGCAGCACTGCATAGCATGTCATTTCTACATAGAAATCCAAACCAACGGACATGTACATAGGTAATGCCCCGCGATAAGTAGCCGTTTACACGCAAAGCGCATTTAACAGATTTCTTATGTGACAACTCTTATGCAATGCAAAGTATGTATAACTGAGGCATTACTCAGACGAACGAGAGCTCAAAGCGTGTTGCCCGTGTACCAAGGCGCATCCATATAAGGTGGTGGCAATTGCATATAAATAAAAGTCCCGTTTATTTTGTTATTGATTTTTGGTACATCAGGATGTTAAAACGAAAGGGAATAGGAGATAGTTTTCGCCATTTCGTTTTGTTGACATCCTAGAGTTATGCCATTTCGTCTTGGATGACATTGTCCCGTACTAGTGTAGAGACAAAAATTTGCAATCAGCTACAAGCTTCGAGTTGACGCAAGAAAAGTTTCCGTGTCTGAACATCGACTAAGCAACTCAGCTGACTAGCAGCTGTCATTCTTTATTTGAGTCTTTTGGAGATTCGTTTGCTGCTTTTGGCTCATCCTTGCTTTTGGTGCGTGTCGTGTAAAAAGCTGAAAATTCCAAGTTATAAATTCCGGTTCTATTCATAATAAAATGGCGGCACCAAAAACATACAACCTGGAAGCTGTGAAGCAGCATAATACTCCAGATGATCTCTGGATAGTCATCGAGGGAAAAGTGTATGATGTGACAAAATTCCGAAACGAGGTATTACAAAGATTAATGGACTTTAACTTGCGTACATTTATGTTCATGTGTGTATATAAATATGCATAAAATAGCATCCTGGAGGCGAAGAAACGCTGGACGAAGTGGCTGGTCGCGACGCAACACGTGATTTCCTGGATGTGGGGCATAGCCAAGAGGCGAGGTTAGCAAATTATTTAAAAATACGCAAGCCTACAGTTAGTTCTACAACAAAAATCCCAAAAATCTGAGTTCCAAATCTTGTACAAAATTAAAGAAAATTATGCGAAATTTCATTCAAATATTGCAATTTTTATTAAATTCTTTAGAAAAAAGTTGAGTACGCAGTTTTTTAACCCATTCAATTTTAGTACAATAAAGTGCAAGTATAAGGAAGCTAGGACCTACCATTGATTTTTGGTAATTTGTTTTTTTGTTTAAGGTGTCGCATATTTTTTCCATATGAAAAAAAAAAAATTATCGCACATTATTTTATAAAAATTTGCAGAATTTTTTTTAATTTTGCATAAGGTTTGGAACTCTGATTTTTGGCTTTTTTGTTGTATAATTAACCATATTTTTATAAAAAATTAGCCAAAAATAAAGTTTTTAAAAGTATTTACCGGTATTGTATAAAATTCGCTGTACCTAAACTTTATTGACCGATTACATAAATAAAATTGAAATTGCGTGATATTTTCTTTTCAGGCAAATACTGAAAAAGTACTACATTGGTGATCTGGAGGCCAGCGACTGGACAAGTAAATTACCAGTAAGGTAAGTGATCTGCTCCTTTTGATAGCATACAAGATATTGCGCTTGCATGTTTTACGTATTTAATTAATAAGTTAAATAAATTTATATTTCATGTCAATCTAAACTAACAAAAAATTGCGTGATAAGCACGTCATAATGGCAAAAGTGGGCTATAATTGATTAGAAAAAGAACAAAGACAAAAAATCTGCAAGGAAACCCGGTTTGGTGAAACTGCTAAATTTGAAAAGCAACAAGAATCTTGAAATGACAGTGCCTCTATTAGTTTGGCCGTAATTAACCACCCAAAAATGATCCAATCCTCTACTTTGCTCACAACAATCAATTCTTGGTGGCCATGCATGCAGTATATTCATTTGCCATAATTAAATTCGCATTGTATTATATATAAATGCGCAGCAAAAACAATGATCGCAATATAATAGTCCAATATTTACATATCCATATACATACGCATATACACATGTATAAATATTCAGACGATTACGTCATAATAGTAGAGGTTCTGGACAATTGTATGTAAATCATAAAGCTTCCATTTTGTGTATGCATTTGCAGTATTCATTTACTAAGGCCTGCTTAAGTGTTCTTCATAAAGCCATATAAATTCATAAAAACTCATTAAAATGCATCTCTTGATATTTGAACTCTTATCAAATTAAACTGATAGCCGTACGCCCTCTTGTTGCAAATATTTAAAGCCTCAACTGATAAACACCCCTATTGCGAGTCTCCACTATTAGTAGGTAAACGACTGTCAGTCGATTATCGATTATCCGTGGTATTCTCAAAGTCGTTTTCTCGTTCAATAAGTGAATGAGAATAGTTTATAGTCGCTCATCCTTCTACAAACAAGCATTTAAAATTAAAAGTTATTCACAGACGCTTATTGAACGAGACGCTTATTGAACGAGAAATCGAAATACCATAGAAAAGCTATAATCGAATAAGAGTCGCTTATCTACTACTAGTCCACACTCGAAATAAGGGTGAAATACTAAGCGTAAGTTTTATAAAATGGCTAAAACGAAAAAATACTTTTGTATGCCCGTTCCATCGACATTACTTTGGAAAGCGCTCTTAGACTATTCTTTATAAATATTGTAGCCTACTAGCTTTTATTATCACTTTCAATTAGGAACCAGTTTATTCTATTGTAATATTTGAAAACCCAACTTTGTACATATCGAGCTCTAACCGTGAAAATAAGGTTACCGACATTTCTGCATCAAAAATAAAAATTTGAGAAAGAATGTCGGTTACGTTATTTTCGCGGTTAGGGCTGGATATGATAATCATCGTGCACGGCCATTACTATACAATACAATATAGTTCATTATTAGTAAAATCCTAGGAGTAATAAAAATTATATCTTTTATAGTTTCAAATATTTTTCTACCAAAAAAGTAAAATTTTGTAAATCATAAAATCATGCGTAAGTTTAACCATAATTTGTATGCATGTTTACCTAATATAAAATGTTTAAATAGCTGTGATTACACTTTAACTCAAAACATCTGAACATCAACACTTTCATACGGCACACCTCGCGTTCGTGGGTTTTCTTTGTTTTTGTCTTTATTGGTTGCTTTGCTAAAATACGATTTTCTTTTACTGCTTCTCAAACATAAATCAAAACAGCACGCCATCAGTGTCACCTACAACACCAACACCACCAAGCCAGTCGGCAATAATTACGCCGGTAGCGACGGCCACGCCCACTGTTGGCAAAGAAGTTGTTGCACCGCCAGAAAAGCAATGTTGCACGCTCGCTTAAATCCGATCGCATGAACTATCTGCTTAATCTTTAAATGAAACCAGTTTTCGAATTGCTCTAAAAATTTATATATATGTTATAACACTTTACAAGAACTTAACGCATTTTTTAAACTCAATGTGTGTCGTACCAAATTCTTTTGGAATACTTTGTGAATTTTACTATGCCGTCGCTAGAATTTTAACACATTTTTTCCTCCTCAAATTCACAACAGACATATTTGCTGTGCCGTTGGAGCGTTCGCTACTGGTCTGCTCCTGGTTATCATCATTCGCAAAGTTTTAGCCGGCAAGTGAAACCAATAAAATTTGCAGCAAGTACAATGACACCGAAAATTTAATTAAAACGAATTGGAACTGCTAGCTAAAATGCCACAAATAACTCAACATTTCCATAAATAGCCTGACCTGCAGGAAAAGTGTAATATACAATATGTAGTCATAATTTTGTACAAGAGTTGTTACTTAGTGCAGTTATTAAAAAAAAAAAATGCACGTACGATACGCATTAATATGAAAAGTAAAAAATATTTATATGAAAAATCAAAAACAAGGGGAAATATATACGAAAATCCGGTTGGTTATTCCTCTTCATTTAGCGGAAGTTGTAACAACGGGAATATAAAATAAAAACCGTGTATGTATATATACGAAATTTCCATGTATTTCAATTCAAACTCTTTTATATTATTTGTGTGTGACTCATATTTATTTTTATTACTTTTATTTAAAAAGGTCTACATAGTGATTCGTTTGGAAGAATATATAAAATTTTAGTTCAATGCCAACACCATAAACGCTACACTTTAAATACCAATTTCTTCAAACTCAGTTCAAAGCTCCCAGCCATTCAACACTCTCCACAATTTATCATGCGAAATTTAAAACAATCATACGTCGTTAACACAGGTAAAGTCCCATATCTCTCGCGCATATCCTCCTTTTCAAGCTGCATCCATGAAGGCCTCGTTCAGCACCTTTAGATTGCGCTCATTCACCGCATCATGCAGCTCGCTGCGACCCATCAGCGAAATTACCATTTTCAATGTACTCCAAATGGACTCTGACATCTGTGCTTGACCCCCACCTATGGCACCCGCGTCGGCTGGCAAATCTCGGGTAGCTGCTGAGCTGTTTGCCTGCATATTCAGCGCTGTGAGCAGATGTTCAACCGCTTGCTTGTATGCCTTCAGATTCATGCAGCATACGCCGACGTTGTAGCGCACACGAATGAAACCCGGTTCGAGTTGTAGCGCCCGCTGGTATGCTTCCACTGCCTCTACAGAACGCGAGCCATTTGCTAAGCTGGCGCCTAAGCGGTTCCAGACCTTAGCATTCTGCGGATCAACGTGCAGCGCAGCACGAAAACAATCGACTGCCTTGTCGTACTCGGAGGATAGGTTGTAGAGCACACCCAAAGCTTCCTGAACGTCTGCGTCTACCTCCTGTGGATTCAAGCGCACCGCGTCGAGAAATAAATTCTGTACAGCTTCTAGTTTACTACCCGTAACCAGTGAGGAAGCTACACCGCCGCCATCAGTTTGCAATTCGGGATGCTGCTGTAATAGGTGTTTGTATTTCGGATTAACCTGCATCCAGTTGACCAGCATGCGGAGCGCTTGACTCTGCAGGCTCTCATTAGTGTAGCAGACGGAGAGTGCCATTAACACACGATTGTTGTCCGGTCGCAGCTCCAATGAACGCTTCAATGCAGCTATGCTTTGTGGATCCATTTCGTTCTCAGCCTGCGCGAGGCCCAACAGTTCCCATGCTTCCGCGTTTTCAGGCTCCTTCTTGGCAGCTGCTTCGAAGCAGAGTACTGCGCTTGGTATGTCGCCCCTTTGCATATACTCCTTGCCCTTCTCCAAAGCGTTTTCTAGCATAGACATCGGGTTTTCCTCGGTGAATTCGTACTCTTTGTAAGGGTCATAATTTTCGCTATATTCGGATAACCAGGGATGCTCAGAGCCCTCAGATAATTTTTGCCACTCATCCTGCAGGCGCTGCCAGAATGCCTCATTATAGCTGCTGGTAGATTGCTGTCTCTCTCGCGCACTCTCTTGATAATCTTTGATCCAGTTCTCGATATACTCGTTAGTTTGCGTTTGTGGTAACACATTTTCAGACCCTTCGTTGGCTTCCTCAAAAAACTTTTCTGTACTGGGCTGATAGGGCGGACAAATGGCAAGGTGCGGCGGCGGGAGCGGCTGAAGTGACATACTGGGCGCTCTAGGCAAATGCCCAATTAAAGACGCGGATGTGCCTGGTGCGTCTTCATCGAAAAACTCACGCACAAGAACCAGCTGCTGCTGCTGTGGCTGCATGTGCACCATTTGTGAAGCAGGGGCAGGCAATGACTTTTGCTGTTGCATGTTGAACTCCTTAAACCACTGATCCCTAGTTACATCGTCTATGAGACTTGGCTCCGGTTGACGATGCTGCACACCCATGGTATTTGCCTGTTCAATTTCACGCATCTCTTCTAGTAGTGCGTTCATTTGAAAAGACTGTGGTGGTGCGGCCACTTGTCCTAGAAATTCACTGACCATTTGTTCATCAGGTCGCATACTGCGTTCAAATTGGGCATTAGTGAAGCCTTCATCCTTACGACCGGCATCTCGCGTGAATTGGGCACCGAGTTGCATGAGCGGATTAACGCCACCACAATCGCCTTCAACAAGCTGCCTCAGCGACATCTTAAAAGTCGTGTAAATAGAATATTTAGTAAAATAGAAGTTGTACTGAGTTGTAGTGAATGTCGCCAATAATACCGAAGGACTGCAAAGGATTCTCTACTTGATTGATAAGCAAAGTCTAATGTCCACAACAAAATGTAAATAATTTTGACAGTTCCGATAAATAGCAACAATTACCAGCTGATTTGGAGATATCGATAAAGATATGTAGACTTGACAGTATCGAAATAAAGTCGATAATAAATTAACTGTTAATCGTTTCTTTTCCCTGATTTTCTTTAGAATTTGTTAATAGCTTTGTTTCTTAACAGATAATTATCACAAATTTTAACTGGATTCTGCTGGAAAGCGTTTCTTAACACAAAAAATTTGCAGAAGATAGCCAAAAAGAGAGCATGAAAAACCGAGAGAGCTGCAAATTTCTGCAAACGGAAATTTGCAATATATTTAAGAAGCAGCTGTTCAAAACGCACAAGGAAAAAGTTCGCAAGTTTATTTTACTTCGTTTTAATAAAACAAAATGAGTGCATCGTTATCAAAACACATTGAAATATTGCAGAATGTAAGGATTTGTGCATGCATTTGAAGGTGTGTGTGTGTGTGTGTGTGTGTATACTGTGATTGGAAATTGCTGCTACTTTTCGTTTCTTTACTTTTTCCTCTTTCGATCTCTTTGTGCGTAAAATTATACTCTTCGCCAACCTGCTGTCAACAGTTGTAAAAAGTTAAGAAACACTCCTAATATCAACTTAAAATTTTCGCAAAATCATGTTTTTTTTTTAAGCAATGAGAAGGCGTCAGCATACAACATTCTTTTATTTTACACGTATGTAGATTATTTTGGAAATCTTTAGCTATTTGTACAACGATTTAGGGGTGGGGCGGAGGGGGCGGGGCGTGCCGCCCCAGTAATGTCTATTTTGGTAACTGGGTGTTTTATAAAAATATCTTGTATATAAAAATGTATATACAAATTTTTGTAACAAAAATTTGCAACAAATACCATATTTCCAACCGACATTATTGTTAAATTAGTGCACAAATTTAGTAAATTAAATTTTTGTTACTGCTGTCTACAAGTGTGTAAAAGTTTTTTCATCCGGTTCACGCGTTTGGGCACAGCAACCCAAAATCGTTGTACAAATTCATAAAGAGTACCCGATTATTTTTCTAATATAGTTTCGCTTCATTTTGTTGGGCCCGAAGAATCCGTATTTTCGAATAAATTATATCCCAGTCGACATAGGTGCCAATTAAATGTCGTTTATTGTAAGGCGTGTCTTCGTATGCTGTGCGTCCATGAAGCATACGCCTATTGTTGAAGACAAAGACATCGCCAGATGCCATTTTGAACTCCACAGCCTCTGCATAGGCCAACTCGACGAACTTGTCGTAGGCTTCATACCAGGGTGCAACCTGCTCAAGTGGTACTGTGAAGTGACTATCGCGTTTGGTGCTGTTCTCATTGATGCGGTGATAACAGCCATCCACGTCCAAACTAACAATAAATTGTTAATTTCATGTGAATGCGTTTAATTTAAAATTAACGAGTGAATGCTTACCAAATCACTGGTGAGCGCCAAATATTATGAAACGCCACGCCATTGTCTTCGCCCAAGTCACACCAGTCAACTGGTGTTTTTACGAGTATTTCATAAAATTTTGGAAACTCCTTGCGTAATCTTTCTGCGGTGTAGAAGCCATCGGCCATAATATTACTGCCACCAAGCGACTCGGACTGTACATAGCAGTGTATTATATTGATTCCAGCTTTATATTCGTAATATGGCAAATCTGTATGTAGAGGCAGAGGAGCCATTAGGTAGGCGTAATTTCTGGCATTCTCTTTGGACTTTACCTCAAACTCTTCACTGTTCATTTAGTAAACGAAAATAATTAAATTATTAACGATTTCATAATGGAATTAATTACCCATAAGTGGTACGTTTTATAAAGCCTATATGTTCGGACAGTTGTCTGGCCACACTTATATCATGTGGTGCATTTTTTATAAAGCAAAAACCTATTATCGCCAGAGATTCTAGCCAAGCCAAAAGAGCTATAGATAAGTTTGGACTCTGTTATTCATGGTGGTATACACAACTTCAACTCACCTTCATCCTTTTCAATAACCTCTGTAAATTCGAAAGTACGAATTAGGTTTGGAAATTCCTTCTTTGACCACAACTGGCATGGTGGTCTATAAATCTCTTCAATGTATCGCTTGCGATTCGTCGGTGCAAAATCTCTGTTCCGCAGCCAGTCTAGCGTGAAGCTCGATCTATGGTCGTCCCACCAATCAATTGTTACTTTCTTTTGTTGGCAGACATTTATGCTCCGAATACGCGCCTCTACATTGGTACGTGTCCAGTTTGCTTGTCGACTCTTAGTATTCCTATGAAAGCAGGCGCTGCACTGACAGTTGTCGCGTAACCAAACACTGGGAAATTTTAAAGGTGAGCCAAGATCCGGTCCCTGCAGTACAACGACATTTCCTCCGGCCACAGACGCGGTAAGTTGGCGATGCAACGGCCAGCAGTTCCGCGTAGCGGTTAGTTGGTGAAAAATGCTCTTGATAAGTTGCCTTGTGAACATCTTTATATACCACTATACACTGTGAGACAGCTACATTAATGTGATATGTAAGTAATCGTACGTTGATTGTTGGGCTTGATAACGCGGTTGGGGAGAGAAAGTTCATTGCTTCTAAGCGTATATTATTATTTATATTACAAAAAGTGCTTTTGAGTATTGAAAATAAAAGTATGTACTTTATTTTAGCATATTTGCCTTATTAGAAATTATTCTCTGCGATATATGTATGAAAGCTTAAATATCCCGAAGTGCAGTTTAAATTTTAGTTCACGTTGTAGAATTTGTGTAGTAAGCGTCCATTTTCTTATACTATAAAAGAAAAACTGTCTAAATCCGCTTGCTATTTGAGCTTTATACCTAGAAGCTAACCAAGTTGTTAATTTTTCCTAAAGGCGTTGTTGCAATATGCTAGTTTTGTTTATGTTCCGTATTTTCATTTCCAACAGTAATAGATTCCACCACAGACTCGTCGTTCTCCAACCAGAATTTATGATCCGGATTTACTACATACTGACGCCTAAATCCACACTGGCGACATGTCAACTGCAAGCTCGTGTTTTCATCAATGTCTTCTGCAATCTTTGCAGATTTTCGACGCCTCCGACGAGAGAGTGCATTCAAATCAGCGGTGATACCCGGCTGCAACGCAAGGGAGCAACGCTTGCAAAACTGTCGTTTTAAGTCCGGATCACTGTGGTTGTATTGCGATAATTTATACGTACTATACATATATTCAAATAATACTAATTTTTTAAACAATTACTTACATCCTAAGCACAGCTTTTTTGCCAATGTTCCGACACAGCTGGCCATAGTAAGCAGCTAAAGTGTTGTTCCTGCCTGCCATCAACATGGATGCTTGATAGAGAAAATTCATTCGACTAAAGCATTCTTTTCCTTGAAATGCTTGATGTTTTTTGCCGGACATGTTATTATTTATTAACCACGCTATTACAAATGGAAAAATATGCACAAGCCAGCATAAGCTTAAAATTACGCTCTTCTTCTTCTTGAAAGACCCACCCAGCGTAAAAGACAAAAAGATTTACTGTACAATTTTCTAACGTGAAGAAATTCCTACGTTGTAAAAACAAGCGAAATTATATTTTATATTTATCTTGCGGTTTTCGCTTTGTGATATATGTATTTACATCTATAAAAATTGAAAGGAGTGGACTAGGCTTACAGGTCCTGTTGGCCTTTGTTTACAACTATTGTGAACAGCTGAAAGTGGTTGATTTCTGGTCATGAAAACAAGTCATTGGGTAGTACCACATACATACATCTTGAAAATAGGTGCATATGGCGTTGAATGAATGTAAATAGCAGTATTTATTAAATCATATTCTAGAAAATAATTTTATCTATTTTAATCATGGCTCCTTCGCATTGTTTCGACGTTGTTTTGCTACAGTATTAATAGTACCATCCGCATTTCTATGCAGAGAATAAAAATGCTTCAACAAAATTCGTATGGAATAAAACTGTTCTTTACAAATGAGGCAACTGTAGGCGCGATAAGGTGTATGACGTAATTGTTCATCCCACAAGAGCTGATAATTCGTGCATCCATCTAATACGCGATCACAAAGAACGCAGTATGGTCGTAGGCGTCGTTTTTTGCAGCTCCGATTTGTGTCGGCCGATGCGCCGAAATTGGCTATGTTTAATGCCATATGTGGTCCTCTAAAGAAGTCATGATTTTCATTGATATGTAAACGCCAGCCTTCCGGACTTCCAAATTTTACTCCACAAATCGGGCAATTGAATTCCATGTGTGGTAGAAATTTGGCTCGAGCATCCGTAATGTTAATGGTCATATCAAATTTTGCATTCTTTGGGCGCAAATTTGCCGGTAGTATGGCCTCCTCGTAGGTTGCTGCATTTTTACAGTGCAGCAGCAACATATGCATCTTAATTTCGTTGGAATAATTAAAGTGAAGATTGCAAATTCCACAACGGAAAGCTCTGCTACGTAGATGTGTCAGATAGTGTTTTCGCTGACATTCTTCCAAGTTGTTACCAGATAAAGTGGTAGCACATACTTCGCAAGTGGTAAAAAGATAAGTTTTCTTCTCAATAGCTTCGTCTATATTGGCCGTTTTAAACTTAAGTTTGTCCTCCGCAAAGAGCGCATGCTTGTCGGTTACGTGGCACATCCAAGTATCGCGGTGTCTAAAGGTTGACTGACATTCAGGACACATATATAGCAAAAATTTTTCGTAATCTATGCCCTCGCTCAATGAAAACCGTTTAGGGCGTACGATTTTTCCATTGATTTTCGCTTTAAGCATATGTACTTCCATATGCCGCCTAATATGGCGATCCATTTCGAGGCTTGTACATTCCAAATGATCACATAAACTACATTTGTAAAAAGCATTGAAATTCATGTGTGAAAAGCTGTGATGCAAAATTTTTTTATAATCCAGTTGATTGAATTCGGCTAGACATTTTCTGCACCGAAAAACTTTTTGATCTGAAAAAAAAAAAAAACAATTAAGGCAATGTCTTTATATTCGCATTGAAATTACCTTCGTCCAAGGTGCCTGGCAGCATTTTTAAATTGTTGAAGAAGTGCACGTTATGCAAATGCTGTTGCCAAAGAGCAGATGATGGAAATGTTTCACCGCAGCGTGGACATAGGAAATGTGTGAAGATTACTGGGTTAACATTTTCCATGGCTTTTGCCATAGCTATCTCCATAAGGGATAATTCTTCTTCGGCGCCCTCTATTTCATCCATCGAATCTTCATCCAAACGATTGATGTCTTCTATGGTGACCTCCGTAGAATCTATCGGCATGTGCACGCCGGAAAATGGATCTTCAATCTCTATAGGATCCATGTTTAATTTAATGTAGCAATGAACCTAGTCCAAGCAATACCAGAATCTATGTATGTTTTTTAGAATTCTCTTTCAGATTTATACACTGTACTATTTTAAGACGCACTCGGCGCTTAAAATTTTTTTTTTGTAGTATTGTTTACATCGAATTAGGTATTTCAGAAAAACATCGATGCGTAGAAAGTATCGATGTTTTGCTTCGATGCATCGAAAATTTTAAACTCGATTTATAAAAGCACCAGTCCTATTGCTAAAAAGGTGTTCGCACTTGGCAATTGTGCGTTCAACTTTTGCTTTCAACTCACGCAGGGTTGCACGAATAAAAGTTTAATGGCTAATGTTGACTGGCGACCAACTTTGTTGAAAGCGATTAGTTGAAAGGCCGTTCAACCAAAAGTAGAATGCAAAGTTGAACAATGCAAACGCCTTTTATGGCGAATATTTTGATATTTTTTTATATTTTGTTATTTTTAGCCGTTCATTTTTTTTTCGTGCAAACCTGCCTGAGTTGAACGCAAAAGTTGCCTGAAAAATCGCCGCGTGCGAAAGCCCTATAATTCTGTGTGAGTTATAGGGAATTTACATTATTCAACTTTCGCAGGCGATTAGTTGAACCAAAAGTTGAACGAAGGAAGGCAGCCGACCAACTTCATTGAAAGCGATTAGTTGAAAGGCGAAACGTCAAAAAAACCCTTGCTTTGCTTATATGGCTTTGCCACGCCACCCTAATTACGTAGTTCGCTTAATCATTCGTAATTCTCACTCCAATTACCCTTCAAATTTACGTAATTCGCCATACAAAATTTTGCGAGCGAATTACCTCGTTTGATGGTAATTCAGATCCAATTACCATGCGAACCACGAATAAATCGTTGCCATTTCTAATTTTTATCGGAAATTTATCGAAACTAGCTCACATATCGGAATTTGCATTTTTTCTCCAGCTCGGGCGTTTAAACTGAGTTTAAGCCACGGAAGTGCACTGAAAAACTGGCCCATACACAGAGAACTGTCAAATCGAATTAAGGTCGTGCTCGTAGGAATGGTTTAATTCGCGATAGTAATTGGGGGAGTGGGAAAATGGCATTACCGTGAACTAGTATTAGGAGTGTTCGCTATGCAAAAAAATGTGTACAAGTTGGTACCAATTGTTACCAAATCGTGTTCGTTTAGCCAAAAACCCAGTAAAACTTGCAAGGAGAGAGTACAATTTTGACATTTCATTTGGAGGGGCAAAAATTTTCCCAGCACGAATTTGCAAGCAGAATTGTGGCACACGCTTGCATTTTTGTCAACATTAATTTGAATAAACGAGTTCGTTAAATTTAAAACTGAACAATCTTGTTGCGATTCATTAATGCAAGAAGTGTGTAAATATTCGTTTATTCAATTAATTTAATTAATTCCAAGCATTTGATAGGTACTCGGCTGAAAAAGCTGTATTACTAATCGGAACGCACTCGACACCACTGTCAATATAGGAAATCCGACAGTGACTTCCACAATGAAATTGAAGCGTATGTTTAAGAAAGTCAGAATAAGACGAAATATACGTATAGGTCCGGTTTTGGTTTCCACCTGAAATAATTTAAAAAAATTATTATGCTCGAAATGCAACCGTGGACGCCAGCTGGCAGTGAAGCTTGCTAATGTTTGCTAATTCCTGCTCGCGCAAAACTTAGTAAGTTTCTCTCTTTGGGAGATTAAGGTACCTTGTTCTCTGAATTTTGTTACTGGCTAATTCTTACTGGCAGTTGCATAGCGAACACTCCTATTCTCTAATCAGAGAACGTACGTTCTCTGCGCTAATACAACTCTGCACCAGCTGAATTTTGCATTGCAGACATACATTTTTTTACTGGGAGTTTAATAATCGTGTGAAAATTCTGAAAAATCGGAATTTTCGGCAGTAAAAATAGTGTTTTAAAGCAAAAAATTGATTTACAACAGATCTCGTGATAAAAGAGATCTATTTTGCATGAGAAAAAGATGTCTTACTACAATATGACCCGCCAACCAGTGCGCGAGTACGCGGGCGGCAGCGTCGGTGGCATACTACGCAAAAGTGGCAGCAGCACATCCTCCAACAATGGCGTATACAACAGCTACACGTCCACATCCAACACAACGGGCCTGAATGCAGGCGAAGCCCGTCAAGTGGATCTGCTTGTTTTTGGATACGCCTGTAAATTGTTTCGTGACGATGATAAGGCACGAGACATCGATCATGGCAAGCATATGATACCATGGATGGGCGACCCAACGCTCAAGATCGACAGGTTAATAATTGTTGCTACCTATGTGTATACTACAAATATTCCAATTTTGTAAGATTTTTGTACCTATTTCAAAATTAATTTATCTATAAACTGTAATGTCTACTATTATGATTTTTCGTGCATTAGTGCAGTGTATGTAATAGTTTTATAACCTCCAAGAAGCAGAACATCAAACAGTCGCACCACAAGTACAAAACAAGAACAGCCAAAAGGTCTCGCTGACTATTAAACTTTTTGTTTCAATGCAGAGTTTATTTTAGCATGTTTATATCGGTAATGGCTTTGGACATGTAGCAAGGTTCATTCGTTTTGTTTTAAAATGTGTAAAACAGAATTTTATAGGCGCAGAAGTTGTACTTATTACCTGAATATAAATATGCATATATTTGCGGACAAATTTTTTTTTACAGTTAACGTTAGTTGGCCTTCGATACGGGTTAGTTTCGAATCGAACTTTCGATAAATACAAGGAGTTTTACTCTTATATGCTTTGTCACAGGGACTGTAACTATTGCATAATTTTGATTCTTACTACATATCAATCCAATCTTATGCTGGTTCCAACTTAAACTGCTTGCTACACAAAAATTAATGTTGACGTCAAAGAAAAATAGTCGCGGCTTTGCAAATCGACTTATGACCGTGTCACTCAGCTTGTTTCATAACCGCTTGAAAATCTTACCTCATAATCTTGCATAACCACCGTAGTATTGTAAACAAATTTATTTTCTAATAATCACTTTATCGCAAAAATCATTTTTTAGCCAAAGGAACGGTATGTATACAACATTTGTAAAACTTTGATTAACAATTTACATATTTTAATATGAGCTCTTAAATATCTATAGAAAATAAAGCACAATAATGCTTACAAAATGCAGTAAGCGCAGTGCGGCTATTTTCTGTAATATTTTTCTTCTCATTTACCGAAAGTATTTTTTCAGTTATAAACATTTTTATAGCCTTTTATTTTTAA